GGCACACGCAGAGTTGGCTGACAGTGCAGCTCTGGTGTGGCCCCTGCTGAGCTCTGAGCCACCTTCTCATGGAAGACAGGCAGATTTTAGACCAACTTAGCATTCGGGTTCTTTCTGAATGTCGCATCCTGAATCTGCCTGGTGCACATCTAGAGAAATACCAGGTGTGACTGAAAGACACGGTGAGTGCTTAAATTTTAAAAAAATTATTACAGTAAAAGACACATTGTTCTCCATACCCCTCACAATCCTCCCTTTCACTTTGGACGTATTTATCCCACCTTTCTGACCACCATCTGAGACAGTTCTGAGTCCTCTTCCAGGGCTTCAATGGTGCTGCTGGCTGCCTTGAGGTCCTAAATCTACTCAAAACATTTACCTTTCATGGTCATTTTGACTTTGGGGAAGAGCCAGAGGTCACACAGGGTCAGATCCGGTGGAAAGGGTGGCTGAGGACACTGTGAGCTGCCTTTCCACCGGATGGCACGTGGCAGCAGCATTCACTGTGCTTCTGATCACGCCCCATAGAGCCATGGAGGATGACTTCCAGAACTGCTTCAGAAAGTGGCGAGAGGGATGGGCTGAGCGTGTCTGCAGCAAGGAGGGGACTGTTGCGGGGGGCTTAATGACAATGCGTCTTTCACTGGAATAGATTTTTTAAAAAAGCAAACATGTGCTGTACATTTTAATGGCCCCTTGTACTCTGAAATCTTTGCTGAATGAATGAATGCACTTATGTTCTGAAAATGAATGACCATGATGACACAAATGATTTTAGAGGGGAAATAAGACCAACACTGCATTATCTAACTACAGTTCCACGCGAACCCATTTAAAATCGTAGACTATCATATACTATGAACACTTTCTTAACTCTTCTTTCTTTCCCTAAACGTCTCTGGAACTGTGCACGCCCCCTGCCTCAGCCAAGCCAGTGCATGAATCACATTCAAGGTCTAGTGTAAATCTCTGAAGACAGAGCCCTTCCATTTCTGTCAGGCCCGCCCAAACCCCCTCAGCGGCAGAGCTCTTCCACCCCACTGCACTGCCAGCGGGTCAGGCTGCAGCAGACTCTTCCAGGTTACCTGGCCCCAGGCCACCTCATCACCTTCCACATAAAGACCCCAAGATCCGCCATGCTCCCTCACCAGCACTCTCAATTCCCTCCTGCCCCAAACGGTCTGTTCCTGCTGACCACTCACCTGCAGGGTCTTCACCCCTCGGCAGGTTGAAAGTCCTCTGTGGCCCCAGCCCTTTATCTTCTTTAAGGCAGCAGGGCCCCGACCCACATTCGCTGCCTATTTTAAATCTTCAAGGCCCAGGATGACACTTCCCTGTCACACTGCCGCATTACCAATGCACGGGTCTCACATGAACACAGGACTGCTAGTATTTATTGACTCTGATATTTTAGGCTGAGCCATGTGAAACAGTTAAACGTGGCTGAGAATGAGAGATTTCGTATGGCTCCACCTAATATCAGTGCTATTTCAGACATTAGATGGCGTGTCAAATTAAAAACGATACGCATGTCCTGGCTCTTCCCTGAAAACGCAGTTGATTCCTCAACCAAACCCTTCAGAATTTTTGCTCTTAGGACACCATCACAGGCTACCACAAATCAAGGAACAAACAGGCAAGAGGGTGCAATGTGCACACAGCAGACTCCACCTGCTTGTTGGGAAGTGACATTTGTCCTAACACTGGAAAGAGTGAAGCTGAGTCAGGTAGGTAGTGGAGGGGACGGGGAGACACCATCCTCCTGCGGGAGGAAAACGGCCTAGGGCAGGAGTCTGAACCCATTACCACGGTGTGTCAGCCACAGATCCAGCTGGTTTGCAGCATGGAGGGCGCTACCCACCCTTAGCGCGTCCATCACTTCAGGCTGCTCCAGGAGCTGGGGGAAGGAGGCCAGCATTGGGTGACTGATGAGATCTGAAAGACACAAGAGGAGAAGCTTACGTGAACTGCATTCACTGTACCTGACTGCACCACACACACGCATATTCATTCACATTAAAATCACGGTACCAAATGATTTCTTGATAACACCTTCTATACACTTTAACCTCCACTTCTGCCCCTCCCTATACCTTGTACAGGTGCACCAGGAAAGAATTCAATGAAAGGGTTTTGGCCCAGACAGGACTCTGTAGCCAGGAAAGCCTCAACGGGAACCAGGAAGCTCCTATCTCCCCCGCCCCTAGGAATTTACCTGTGATGCCATCTTCCCACCCCTGGGGATTTACCTATGGTGCCAAACCTAGGACCAACGGGCTACCTGTGCTTCCCTAATGCCCCCCTTAGCTTCCATCCCAAACTGAGGCTACTTATGTGCCTCACTCCACATGTTCCATGGAGAGATCGCCGACCCTGGGGCGGAGATGCCACGCCCTGGGGGATCAGGGTGTCTCTCTCTGCATTCTCAAAATAAAGGTCATTTATATTTCATACTTATCTTTTCAGCCACCGCCGGTCCTCCCCCACAGTTCTATCATTAAGAACAGGAGAGTCTGGTCACGTGACCAGATATTGTGTGGGGAACACTGATACTTTATCATGAATAACGGCACAGAAGATGTAGTACAAGACACAGCAGCGGGCATTTGTGGGTTCACTGGTACCTCTATGCCAGAGCACCTGGACCTGGTATTGCTTCACAAACAATGGGGATTTACATCACACAGCTCTGGACACCCGGGGCCCCAAGATTAAGGCACCAGTTAAGCATTTAGTATCTGGTGAGGGCTGTCTTACTGGCCAGTGTGGTTTGTATTTAAATGTCCCCCCAAAGCCACCTGTAGGCATGAAGGTGGCTGAGTCTAGCGTTTGTGATTGGTTTGTTGTCTAGTGCTGGGATTGGTGGTGTGAGTGCTGCACCTGCCCAGGAGCAGAGCCAGCTAACAATATAAGGGAGGTAAGGAGAGGTGCTTTTTCCTTTTTTGCCCTTTCTGGCCTGTGGTTTGCAGAATGGTTCCCCTTTGCCATGCCACTCTGCCTTGCAGCCAGTATGGATTGAAACCTCCAAAGTCTAAGTTAAATAAACCTTTCCTTCCTTCATTTTGAGCATCAAGTATTTTGTCTTAGAAACAAGAGAAAAGTAACCAAGATGCTGGCCCTTTGGAGAGAATGACATTGTGTCCTTGTCACAGAAGGCAGAAAGATAAGCAAGAAAGATCCCTGTCCATGGTCACACCCTTCTGTAAGGTCACCTGAGGCCACTCATGAGAGAGGAGCACTCTTGGTCTAATCACCTCTCAAAATCCTCTCCTCTTGACACTATCACAAGAGCAAAGCCTGGATTTCGGAGCAGACATTCAGACTATAGTAGGTACTTCTCAAATAGCAAGGGTGATACATTTGACAACACCAATGTCCTTAGAGAATCCTTTCTTTAGATCCTGCTAAGCTTGTTCTGCTGACCGACTGCAAACAAAGCCATCTGTCTTGAGCCACTCTCTCTTTACTGAGAGAAAAAAATAGCACCCCTCATCCCCTTTAGGAAGTAATGTCACTCATGAAGCTTTTCTAAAGTCATTAAAATAAACTCAAAGGTGAGTGTGAGTTAAAAGGCTTCACTGGCTCCCCCTGGAACTATGACTATTCTTTGAGAAATCTCTGTGCGTTCTGACTCTGAGTTCCACTGCTACTTGGTGGTGCAGGTGGCAAGACTGGCCCAGACATCACCTGTGCACGCTGCCAGCTCATCACAGCCCAGCCCCCCTTGGCCCTGTCCATCCTGGCGGCCTTCAGTTCTATCCCTCCAACGTGAGCACAGGTTCTTGCCTGGGTGCTCAGACCAGCTCCTCTATCCAGAAAGCTCCTCCCCAACCCCCAGGGGTCGAACTCCCTTCTGAGCTCTCTTCAATAGTCCTTGCTCAGTGCAGCATTTCCTCACAGTTAATTCAGGCCTCCTAGCGATCACTCTCCCCCTCTGAGCATCTTCCTGCTGAGCTCTCATTCAGAGGATGGACAGCTTAGTCATGTGACTGTGTCTGAGGCCTGTCGTCCCACCAGGGTGGGGACGACCCTGCCTGTCTCATTCATCCTGGGCCTACATAATGTCTGGCATGCAGCAGACCGCACATGTCAGATCGATGATTTACTCAGTTCAAACCCCAGTCAATGAAGCTAAGCTGTTTTCCTCTCTGAGGGCTATTCTTCTGACACATGCATTTCTCCTTACAAGTAGCTTGTTGGTTTCCTAAATAATCATTCAACTTTTGACTTGGAATAATTTCCAAATTCAAAAGAAGTTTCAAGAATAAAAACAGTACATAAACAATTAGAATATTCTTTATCTTGATTCACTGATTATTTTGTTTCGAGACAGGACCTCACTATGTAGCCACGCTGGCCTTGAATTCACAGCAATCCTCCTGCCTCAGCCTCTCGAGTGCTGGAGTCACAGGCATGTACCTGGCCAAATCACTGATTTTAAACTAATCCAATGACTCCTATATTTCATGCTCTAAGAATCAGTTATTTGAGGATTTTGTTTTTTCCCCAAATGACAACTTGCATGCCAAGTGCAGGGAGGGGGAAAGATATTCAGAGACAGATTTCAATTTCAAGCTTCCATATTTAAAAATGCAAAAGAGTGTATCTGAAAGAACTGAGCATGTATTTGAGGTTCCAAATGTCCAAGCTTTGCATCGGGCGTACTGACATTGATGCCACCCCCGTATTTTATTCCAAATGTCCCACTTAGAAACCAAGGTTACATCCATGCAGGCATAGAGCACCAGTGAATGAAGAAGCGTGAGGACTCCTTACCAGCGTTCTGTGAGTTCGTCCTGTCTTTCAGCAGTGCATCTCCAAGAATCTGCCGATAAAATACCAGCAGGTGGGAGCAGCACATACTTCCAACCAAGGTTTCCGGCAGGAAGCTGTCGCGGAAGGGAAAAATGCATTTAGCAAGCCGTCCCTCCAGGCTGCCCGCAGGGCTTTTCCTGCACGGTATTGGGAAACATTTTAAGAACCGAAAGGAGAATTTCTACCAAGTGGCCACAGTAAGCTTCCGATACACATTTGAGGTGTGTACTTCCAGCCTCCGCCGTGCTGTAACCCTTGTGTTTCCATTTTAGCAGACACCCCTGGCAAATGGCAAAGAAAAAGAAAAGCCCTGGAGTACTTGTGTCAGACAGCGAGTGCCCAGTGAGCCACCCACTTGAACAAAGGCAAGTGGCTGCCACGCCTGACTGATGCGGAAATCCCAGAGCCACAGTTTCAGGGCGGGTGCCACAGGGTGTGACAGGCCCAGGGTGTGAATGGCCCGGGGCGGATCCCGACTTGGCTGTGAGGCTGTGGACTCCTTAGGGCTCACTCTCCCTGTACTTTAATTTCCTTGTGTGTGGAATGTGAGGAGCATGATCCACAGTTCCCCTGAATAAAAGGATTAAATGCCTAAAGCAGCGTCTGCATAGACAGGGCTGCAGGGCAGGAAACCGCGCACAACTGAAGGTGTTACCAGGTTAGAGTGCTACAGTTTTGGGATGTGTGACGGAATCCCCATGGCAACCACAAAGAAAATGTCTATAGAACATACACAGAGGAAATGAAACGGGGTAAAAATGTGTCTCCGTGAAAGGTCAAGCACAAAGGAAAGCAACAGGGAGGAAACGAAAGACACAAAAAGTGACACAATGTCAAGGAAAACAAGAAACAAAATGCCACAAGTCAGGTCTTTCCTATCGGCAATTTCTTTAAGTGTAAATGGATTAAAACCCCAATCGAAAGATAAAAGTTGGAAGAATAGATTTAAAATATAAAATGCAACTATATGCTTTCTATAAGACATTCTAGATGAAGGACACTCATAAAGTCATCAATAAGACTTAAATTTTTATAAGTCAATCTTTAATTTCTAGAAAAGTTTAGAAGGAAAAAAATATGAGAAAGGCAATGTTCGGTCCTGTAGCTGATCACAGGGGAACAGACAGAAAACGACACTATGCTGGTGCAGAAGGGATAGGGTCCTCAGGTAGTCAGTGCCTGGAGTTTAGGCTGAGCATCCCCCACCACTCCCTGAGTTTCTAGAAACACTAAAAAATTACAATACAGGTTCTCTTACCACATTCATATCATATATACTAGTGGGCACACAGAGCCAGAAATCATTTTTCCAGTGCTCCCCAAATTCCAACTGAGATTTCAAAGACTGACTACAGGGGAGCAGCCGAGCTGCCTGGAAGCCACCACCAGGCACTGTTGGTGTTCTTCCTGAGACTTCTGAGGAGGGTTGTCTGGCTCTGGCTCTGGCTCTGGTCCCCAGCCCACCCAAGCAGTGTTCCTGTGCACGCCCAGACTCAGGGCTCATGCTGAGGAACAGCAGGGGCCTTTGCCAGGGGAAGGGAGGAGCCTTCCTTCCTTCCTCCGGCTCTGTCCTCGCCTTTCTCCATCTGTCTGCCAGGCACCAGTGTGGGCACCGTGTGGGCCCTCCTTTCCTTCTGAAACCTTCCCACATGAGACAGTGTGGCTTCACTTTTTAAAGATTTTCTTCAGAGAAACCTCTGGTTTTTCCACACCCGAGGTGACCAGAAAGTTCTGGGCGACAAACAGTTAGCTGAGTTGAAGAAGTAAAAAGCTATGTCTCTGCCAGTGCAAGTGCTGCTGGCAGGAGGGGAACAGATGTGATGAGTGGGCTTCAGTCAAGTAACAGTCCTACTTTATTCAATTGTAATATTCAATTCAGTTTAGAAAAAAAGAGAATATGGAATGGATCGAAAAGACAAGCAAAATAAATTCACAGCAAATTCACATGGAGATCCATACAATCTACTTTACAGCCTGGTGTCTCCTGGCGCTCAGAACTCAGAGTCTAAATTTGGACCTTTCCCTTAACCGGGGCTTAGGAGCAGGCCTTGGTCAAATCACACCAGGTTAAACCCCTTTGGAAAGCAGCTCCAAAATTAGAAAGACAAGTTTTGGTGAAGCGGAAGCATCTATCTGCTTCTGGTCAAAGAGTCAGGGTCACCATGATCACAACTGACTCCCTGAAGGGCTTGAAGGCGAGCCGGGTGCGCTTTCCTGTTGGAAGAGACTGGCTGGCCTGCCCGGCTTGTTTGCATTGTCACAGGTCTGCAGGCCAAAGGACCCATGCGTGTGATACTGTTGGCTGTGAGGGCCACCGAGAGCTGGGCATCAGGGGGCCAGGGGAAAGGGGCCTGATGCATACTCCACCAGGGCTCTGCACCCTTGGTCTGCCCCACCGGATCTCACCATGTCCTGGCCTGGTTTCTCTGAGAGGGTGGGCTGTGCCTGGGTCACGCCAGCAGGGGACCTTAGCCTGTCTGTAAGAGCCCCAGGCTGTGCCTTTCAGGACCAGGCAGCATGGAGCAGTGCTCATGACCATGGGAAAAGAGAAGAGCACGCAAGAGACAGGCCGGGAGAAGGAGCCCTACTTGGAAATTGCTTCACAAACACTTTCTTGGGTGCCTACCATGTGCTGTCATCACACATGTGCTTCTGTCCCTGAGTTCTGGGGGACAAGGCTGCAGGACCCTTCAGTCAGGCCCAGCACATGGGAGTGTTCCCAGCTGCTCTCCTGACCTCTGCGCTGTGCAGCCCGACTTGATCTCAGAATGGGAAGACGCATCTGAAAACCGGAATGCAGAGCCAGAGGCACAGCATCGAGAGCTGTGCGTGCCAGACGCGCTGGCAGTGCCCGGCTCTCAGAGCCCTGCCTACCAGCTGGAGCAGTGCAAGAGTGAGGTCGAGCGGGATGAGGCTGTTCACTTACAGAGACCGCTACTGTGCTGGGTCTGCATCACGAAAAAGAAGTTTTCCATGGAAAGACTGCCAAAAAGGGGAATTTACAGGCTCTAAGAACATCCAAGAAAGAAAGAAAAAACCCAAGAGAGTGAGTAATACCTAGGAGCGCACCATCAACGGTTGTTGAAAGACTGAACTGTGAGTAGGGTAATTATAAGATGCACCTCGGTCTGAGGTCAGAGCAAGGGGTATTTAACCTCGGGATCCGGAATGAGCAAAGCAAACCCCTCGGGGGCACCCCAATCCCTCTCCCCCAGCTTCTTGGAAATCTGCAGTAAGGAGCTGTCCTGGGAGCACAGCCCCCTGGATGGGCTCTGCCCCACACTGTGCTCACCTCGCCCTGTCCCCCGGGTGCCCGTGTCCTCTGTGAGAAGCTCCTTTCCTCTCCCATGGCCACCTTCCTGCCATCCTGCAAAGTCTGCTTCTGCTCCTCCCCGGACCTTCCCTGCTGAAAACCACATCTTCATCCAAGCAGTCTTTACAGCACTGTCTCCTTGGCGTTGAATCTACATCATTACTCCAATGGCGGATGCTAATGGTTGGCGCTATGTGCTCCACTGTGTGCCAAGCACAATCAACACGAAGCCCGGGGTTTATATGCTTCCTTTCCAGTCACTCTTGTTCCAGTGGTAAGGGGTCTATGCTGGTACGTCTGCTTTTTCAGACTAGTCTTAATATTGTAAAGGGTGGCATACAAATCGCTTTTAATTCTAGCGTAAAAATGAAAACATTTAAAATAAATAGCTGCGATAATTTTTAACATATACACAAAGTTAAAAGTCATAAATTTTAATGTCAATAACATAAAATGTGGAGGCAACAAAAGAGATAAGGCACCCCAGGTGCAGAGTGAGAACTGTCTGGTTTTAGATGGCACGGTCTTATTGGTCTATTTAAAAGGCTGAGAAATGGTTAAAAGTCTAAGGACACTGAGTGAAAAATTAGTAGATCTGAGATTCCACTAGTATAAATGCTTCTTGCACAAAACACAAGTTAAAAACACCATGGAAACCACTACTGGCTTTTTAAAATGGCCAGGACAGAAAAAACTGTCAATACAAAGTGCTGTCAAGAATATGGTATACGAGGGGCTGGGGATTTAGCTCAGCAGCATAAGCACCTGCCTTGTAAGCAGGCAGTTGTGAGTTCGATACACGGTACCGATAAAAAGCTAAAGAAAAAAAAAAAAGAATATAGTATACACCGGGGGTGGTGGCACACACCTGTAATCTCAGACCTCAAATTTGCGACCAGCCTGCGCTATAAAATGACCTCAAGGCCAGCCTGATGAGGGGGGAAAAAAAAATACAGAGAAAGTGAAATTCACACCCTGTTAGGGAGAGGGTAAATGGTACAGTAATTTTGGAAAACAGTTTGGCAGCTTCTTATAAAGTTAAACTAAAACCAGACGAGCCAGCAGTCCCATTCCTAGGTTATTTCTACCCACAAGAGATGGAGGCAGATGTCCACACTGGGAAACCTGTGGGCGAGCTGGGCACGGTGGTATACTGCCCCATCACACCAGCACCCTGGGAGGCTGAAGCCAAAGGGTCACAAGCTTGAGCCCAGCCTAGGGAACTGGTGACTTTGTGAGGCCCTGTCTCAAAAATCTCAACATTAAAGATTTTTTAAAAAGGGCAGGGATGCAGGTCAGTGTGAAGGCCTGGGGTTAAAACCTAAGCTGGGTGAAGAAAAATCTTGTATGCATGTGTTTAGGGGCCCTTATTCATAATTACCCAAACTAGACACAATCTAGCAACCTAGAGAATGATAAACAAACTGTGTTACATTCATAAAATGTGATACTGCCTAGAAAGAAAAGGAACAATCGAATACACGCAGCAGCCTGGGTTAATCTCCAAGGCGCCGTGCTGAGAGAAAGAAGCCAGATTCAAAGGCCGCTACTGTACAGTTCCATTTATGAGATCCAGAAAAGGCAAAGCTAGTAGGGAAGAAAACAGGTGTGAGGCTGGGCGCTGGGAGCTGACTATAGACCTGAATTCAGCTTTTAGAGTAAGGAAAACATTCTGTATCCTGGTGGCTGTTTTTACATGATTGTGCACACCTGTCAAAACTCCAAGACCCCACCCACTAAAAAGGGTAAATTTGCTGTATGTAAATTAAACCTCAGTACATCTGACAAGAAAAGGTTCCCTGAAGACAGGATTAGAGATTGGTAAGCCCCATTTATTCAAAAGTGGCTGAATTATCTATAGCGAAGCCTATCACTTGGGCTTATTGGTAAACAGGACTGTGAGTGAGTGTACACAGTGTTACTATCCTGCTTCCTTACTGATGGGGTTGGGGTGTTTGGGTTTTTGGAGACAGGGTTTCCCCGTGAGATACAGGCTGGTTTTGAAGTCACTATGAAGCCCACATTGGCCTCAAACTCCCGGAGATTTTCTTTAATCACAGGTGTGCACCTCTATGTTCAGCTCCCTACTGATCTTAGGCAGAAGAATTAATGGGGGACAAAACCACTGAGAAAGACTTGGCCGAGTAAGCAGGAGGAGAAGCCGAAGCAGCGGCGCCCTGCAAAGGCGCCCGAGCACATGGGAAAGGCGAGCAGGGACCAACCTCAGGATGTTTCTCGATCTTTGGTTCAGAGACCTCAGTTTCACCAGAAGTTGAGGCTGCCTTCGCATGGTCAGCATCTGATGGAAAACACTGCTGTGTGCTGAAAAAAAAATCAAAGATAAAACTAAAAATGTGAAGTGTTTGGGAATGAGTACAGTAGACCAAGTGTTCGGTGAAAATGTGCCATCCGTGTACCAAGTGTGCAACAGGCAGGAGTCCCGAGTGTTCTCAGAGAGCCGAGGGACAAAGGGTGATGCGAATCCTGATGGACACAGACAGGCCCCAGATGGTATCACCGCTGCCTGCTTAAGCAGCGGAGAAGGGGAGTTTGAAGAGCACATCCGGCCCTAGGTAGAACCAGCTGCATCTCAGACTCCAAGCTCCTTCCTGTTCCAAGAAGCTGGGATGCCAGGGCTGTGGGGACAGCGGCAGGGAGGATGCTCTGACCACCAAACGAAGACTAGGGTGTCTCACCCTCCGCCTCCCAACTCCCAGCACACTGCCGGGCCGAAGGCCAGGTAAAAGGCGCTCAACTTTTTGCAGGACAGTGAGCCATGCACATCACCGTTCCTTGTTTATGCGCTTTGACGTTGCCTCAGGCGGGCTCTGGCTTAGCCTGACCTGTTTCTAAGAGCACAAATGCAAGTGAAGAACACCGTGCGAGCTGCCTTCTCACGTGACCGTGTTGGGCGTTAAGGGAAGGAAAGCAACACCTAAGAGCCGTACCTCTCCTGGACACGGAAGGGTCCACTTCCACGCCTTTCTCATAGGGGGTCCCGCCGTTCAGGAGGAGCTCGTAAGTTCTAGAATAGAAAAACTTGCTTGGGTGGGTATGTCTCGTAGGCATTCGGTGAACACTGGAGTCAGCAGTAAAGTACATTTGAGCACAAAGTTATTTACAGACATAACATTGGTTATTATTATGTCTATAATCTGTGACAGAAGGGAGACAGCTCTGGGTCCCTAGTAGGTGCCATCTTGGTCAACAGACTCTCAGCACAAACTATTGAGAATATGGGGTTTTTTGTTTACATGAAAATGAGAAAGATTAATTGACATTATTTGACTTTAATGACAATAACTGCTTTGAATGTATTTTCAAATGAATTGAATCATTATTGGAAACAAAGTCATTATGAATTTCAATTCTTTTTAAAATAGGAAAGTGACGTGTATAGTGTAAAACATTTGGAAGGCAAAGAAACTCCTCCCCATCTTTCCTTCCTATGCTGACACATCATTTGCTCTTTTTTCTTTTCTTTTTGGTACCAGGAATTGAATTCACAACCCTGCGCTTGCCAGGCTGGTGCTTGTGCCACTGAGCTAAATTCCCAGATGCTCTTTTTCTATGCAAACGAAAACAAGCTGATACATGTTTCCCCCACACCTCGGTCCTGGGGATCAAAAGCAGGGCTTCATGGAAAGACGACCAGGAGCTACTCCTGCAGCTCTGCGTGCGTCTGTTCTGAAGCAGACACCACCTGAGTGCAGGAAGGAAGTTAAAAGGCCCCTTTACCCCTACCACGCCAGGGTCCCCATTCTGATCCAGGTTACCTGCATCTGCCCACAGAAGCAAACAAATAGTTTTCAATGAACAATTAAAGAGGGGTGGGGTCACGGTATTCAGACTGGTCTGTGTCTTACATTTTGTCTGCTATACACTGGAAGCGTCTCTGTATTAATACACAGAGCTCTACCTTGCTTCTTGCTTAAAAAACACCTGTCACCTGACTTGTAGAAAGATGGAGACATATTTTCTTTATTTCCTTCATTAAGGACTGCACCCCACCCCTGAGCATGTTTTCTAAACACACCACAAGAAAGCTTGGGTTTCTATACCCACTCCTGTTACTGGGGGAGCCCTCCCACCCATGCACGGGGGTGACGCCAAGAAAGGAGGTAATCAGGACTTTACCTCTGGCCTTGAGATGTTACAGACCACAGCCTCGGACTTTATAATTCTTTTTTTTTTTTTTTTTTTTTTTTTGTCTTTTTCCTTTTTATCGGTACCGGGGATCGAACTCACGACTGCCTGCTTGGGACTTTATAATTCTAAGCTTGGGATCCTGATCACCATGCAGCTCCCTGCCTGCCCATTTGCATCTCTGCTGTGAATTTCGCTTTATAGCCTAGACTTAGAGCTGAATTTTCTCCCATTTAGAAATTCAGATGATCTCTGTCTTATTAATTTTCAAGAGCTCTTTTTGCATTAGGGGCTATAGGGTTCTTATCGCAAAAATCTGCTTCCTGTCTGCCTTTTTGCTCCTAAGGTTTAAATCTGTTTACAGATTCCCACTACAGTTTCCACGTTCCACCTTCAGGAGGGAGGCAGAGGTCACAGGACTTGGGGACCCTGGCTCAGCTCCCCACTCTTTGAAGAGAATCAGGCTTTGCTCGCAGCACAGGGAAATGTGCCAGGACACGGGAAATCACTCAGCAGCCAGCCAGTGCAAACAGCTCTTAAAACACTGACTCCACACATCATTTTTTCCTGCCTGGGACGAAAGTCTGCAAGCTGTCTCTGTGCAGCATCAGACAACACTCAACTTGTTGAAGAGCTACCAGAACCAATCTGAGCTACCCAGAGCCTAAAAGATGAACTCGTGCAAAATGGCCCAGCAGTAGGGAACGCCCAGCCCGCTTACCTGGCCGGAATAGGAGCGCCGCTGGCATCGAACAGCTTCAGAAACGCCCAGCCACAGCTTAACTCTCCTCGGTCACCGGTAGACTAGGGAGCAAAACAAGTATGTGACTCTGTGTCTGCAGCCCAGAGAGAACAAAACGCGCATTCACCCCCACTACAGGAGCAGCTCTTTCCCAGAAAATACAATGAGACCTAACAGATGCCCGCTTCCTTCGCAAACTAACAAACTGTCGCTACTTCAAGTGACAACCGTGTTTCGCTGAAAATCCTTGCTCTTGAAAATTCCTTAAATCTGACAAGGTGGCCATGACTGCTCTCAGATCTTGAGTGCTGTGAACTTTGTAAACTGATCTCAAATCACACTGATACCACTTGGGATCATGAGACGGGGTTTCACTGCCTGGTGGAATGCAGCAGGGGTCACTCAAGGAGCTCCAAAGTTTTGCTCCGAAGTTTATCTTCACTGTCAATTGACAGAGGCCACCAGGGCTTGCTTGGGGACCTGCTCCTCCCCTCACCATCCTACCTATCTGCAAAGCACATGCCTCAGTCTGTCTTAAAGAACAGCAGTGGCAATATAGGACCACTGATGTAACCTCTCTGTGATGACTCTGGTTACTGGGGCCAAGTTACTTATTATTATTATGTTATTATTGGTTTTTTACGACAGACTTTTGAGATGCAGTTCCAGCTGACTTTGAATTCACTTTTTAGCCCAGGTTGGCCTCAAACTTGCAGCAATCCTCCTGCCTCAGCTTCCTGAGTGCTGGGGTTAGTCATATGCCACCATGCCTGGCTTTTAATGTCAATTTAAATACTATTTTAAATACCATTGTAGCATTATCTAAAAAATGAGAATCACTATCAATCTCATTCCACAAGGGATTAAAATTCTACTACACAGAAGCCTTCCTGTATTTTACCTGTAAATACAGACATATTTCGGACACTTCCCTTTTAATGGAGACATTAGAAAACCTTATGTTTCAGTTGACGTACGTTGCGAATATAGGAAATTCCAAGTTCAAACAGGATTCCGAGGTCGGGAGATGAAGAATTGGACCTGATGAAACAGTCCCCACTGAGCAAGCAGGGCAAGATGCCAGTGACCTGCATGACAGAGAAACCAAAGTCACCGGGAAGAAGAAGTGGGGAGGAGTTTAGCTCCTTGGACCATCTGTGAACGGTTTATGCCCCTGCAGTATGATAAAGGTCTTTTAAGGAAAATAAAAAGCAGATGTACTGGGCTTATCATCTGTAACAAAGATTTGAAATAAAAACACTTATTTCAAGGCATTACTGTCACCTGCTTTTGCACTGTGAGACAAGCGCTGTCCGCAGGTTCCAGTGCACAGTTTGTGTGAGGTGCTTACCTAAGGTGTGTGCCTAGCCACTGCTCTGCTGCTTAAATGGATCTAACCCGAAAGACCAATACATGCTCGCTCAGCGCGCCTGCCGCCCGTCCTGTGAATGTTCTTTCCCTCTTGCTCATCTCTCCTCTCTCCTAAATAACCAAATCCCCCTTCTTGCCTCAGTAGTCCTACCCGTCCTTTACGTCTGCTTTCTCTTCCACGATACCTTCCCTGGGGATCAGGCTAGAATTAGCCTCACCTCCTCGGGCTCCCAAAGCACTCAGAACCCCATCAGCCCGAGTGAAGATTTATTTCCACAGTGCCCACACCCAGGGAGCCTCCAAGGCTGCAGCAAGACATCTCACCCAGGGCCTGGCACACGGCTGGGCACCATGGATGGAGGGAGAGTTTCTTCTCCATTATCCTGCAAGTTCCCACATGTCCAGGGTGGATGCCTGGCACTTGGCAGATGCTTAACTGGATTCGGCAACGGGTTGTATACTTACACGTCCTCCCAATGGCTCATCTTTATAATCCAGGAAAGTGTTAGCACCTCACACCCCACCCTTGCACTTCACACACGCAGACACCACTGCACACTCGTGCAGGGCTGTGCCACAGGCTGGCGGTTTCTCCCTGGGAGCAGGGAGCTCTCGAGGTCGCCCTGCACCTGCACTAGTTTGGGGGATGAGTGGGGACACGCACACGCAGTGAGGTGACCTCTCTCAGACCTCCCCCTAACTCTCCCAGATCTCACTCTAACTCTTTTGATGCAATAAGAGGAAGCTCAATGAAGGGTTTTCAGGGTGCAGTAACATAAACAAGTTAATTGTAGGGAAATAAAATACTAGAGTAACGAAACCACAGTGGTGGAAACCAAGTATGCTACATGCAATTAATGCTGGATAAAGAACATAAAGACACCCTCGATTCACTGGTGTCCACGTAACCCTGAGTCAGTGGTTTGAAGCCCTCACTGCACAGTGACAGTCCCCAGGGTGTAGGGACAGTCCTCGGGCGTCACCTTTGATGTTATCTGGGAAAACACAACCTCAGGAGCACAGGGGAAGCGTTCATTTTTGAAAAAACACCCTGCTTTCTAAATGTTATCTTCTTGTTTTCATGTTTCATCAAATGGGTAGTTTCTAAAATTGACATCCATTGAACAAGATGATTCATAGGAAACATAACATGGGTGCGTCAGGAATATGAGTGACTTTTTTAAAATCTAGGAACACACTAAGGAATTTAAAGATTTAAATCTGGGCCCTTGCATCCTGTGCCGAGTCCGTCACAGTTACAGCCTCACCTTAGATCTTAACTGCAGCAACTTAATAGGTTAAAAAAAAATTCATTTTTTCCTTCTCTTCACTCAGAGATTACCTACCTGGGGAGAAAATGCCCATGTTTTGGGCTTTTTAGGTTGCCACGTGGCTCGGACAGTATGAATGTTGCTCAGGACCTGAAATGAGAGTTTCCCATTTGAAATTGCACTGTAGAAAGTTCTCTGATACATCACTGCTTCTGAGCGCCAGAGTGCTGACGGCGGGAAAGCAGAGCTTTCAATGTTTATTTCATGTAATTCCACGACGTGTTTCTTTTTACATCAAGGTCCAGCATGCATATAACTTCTGAAATAGTGAAAAAAAGCCTTCCAATATTTATTAATAAAACCATGAAGAAACTAATAAAATGAATTCAGTTGCTTGTCAGGCAAGTGCTTATGCCTCTGAGCTAAATCCCCACCTCCAAGAACTTAAAAAAAATGTTTTTGGAGATGTTCTCACTATGTAGTACAAAATGGCCTTGAATTCTCTGTGCCACCTAAGCTGGCTTCTGCATCAGCCTTCTGAGTGCTGGCATTATAAGTGTGAACCACCATGTCTGGCTTTAAAAGAAATTTTAAGATTCAGAAAATCTCAACACTTCAAATATCCAGGATCTAATAAAACATCATTTATCTTACCAAGAAAACCAGGAACATCCCAGATTGAATAAGAAAAGACACTCAATAGACACCAACACTAAGACAAACACAGATGGAAGAATTGTCTAAGATTTTAAAGGAGCCAAATAAAAATATGTTAATAACTTGAGAAGTACTTGAAGAAAATTTAAAACATTTCATTAAAAAGAAGAAAATCTCAACATTAAAAATGGATGAAAAAAAGAAGAATCAAATGGAAATTCTAGAACTGAAAAATACAATCAAGAGAAACAAACAACCCCCCAACTCATTAGATAGACTCAATAGCAGAACAGAGGATAAGAGGAATTAGCCAATAAACTTACAGATCAGAAAGCAGGAATCATACAACCTGAAGAGCAGAGATAAAGTTGGTGAAAGAAAGATAAAGAAAAGAAAATCTCAGGAACTTGTGGGATTATAACAAAAGCTCTACCATTTGGGTCACTGGAATCCCAGAGGGGAGGAGAGTCTGCAGTTAAACAGCATCTGACAAGATAAAGACTGAGTAGTCTCCAAATTAGCCCAAAGACATAATCTCATAGATTTAAAAAGCTATTCTAATGAGGATAAAGCCAAGCAATTCATGCCCAGTACACCATCAACTTCTGAAAAGCAAACAGAAAGAGAACATGTGGGAAGCATCGAGAAACAGCCATGTTCCCCTTAAGGGAGAAACAATTTGAATGATTGGATTTCTCATCAAAGCCAGAGGCTGACAGGAAGTAGCACAATATTTTTCACATACTCTCAAAAGAGAAGCACTGTCGATCTAGAATTGTAAGAATGAGCCTTTAGGAGAAATAAAACATTTTCAAACCGGGTGTGGTGGTGTGTGCCTGTAATCCCAGCATTAAGGAGGCTGAGGCAGGAGGACCGCTGCTAGTTTAAGGCCAACCTGGGCTACAAAGTGAGTTCAAGGCGGGCCAGATCTACATAGTGAAACTCTTTAAAAAAAAGATATTCGCAGGTAAAGTTTAAGAGATCTGTCACCAGCAGACCGACCCTAAAAGAATGGTTGAAAGACATTCTCTAAACAGAAAGAGCATGACTGTAAAAAAAGGAATTTTAGAACATCAGAAAGGAAGAAAGCGACCAAGGAAAAGCCTGAGAGAAAGGATTAAACCAGATCTGGGAGAAAGCTGCTGGAATCTGCTTGGTCAGTGGCGACCCCTACTGGCGCATTTCTGGTTTTTGTGCAGACTAGAAATGAGGACCATGATGACTTACTCCAGATCCAGAAGAAAGAAAGAGAAAAGCAAGGTGAAATCAGGCCCACGGCAGCTCCTCCAGACTTGTGCCCCTGCATGCTTCCAGCAATCGAGCAGACCCGGCAGTCTGAGGCCCTCCACCCTCACATCAGCCACGCACGTTCTGTGGCTTCTCACCGCTTCCATCTGCCATCTCCACCTAGACGCACGCCCCACGCACCAGACACTCCCTATTGCAAGTGCTGTCTACCTTGCCCTCACCCCAGCGTGGGTACTGGACGAGGAAGGTGACACAGCAAGGCCAAGTCACCGGGCCAAAGCCCGCACTCTGCGAAGGGAGCCAGGGTTCAGCTCAGGCAAACCGAGTCCAGGTGTGGGTTTGGTCCTCTTGAAGAGAACGCTTTGCTGTCCTCTGACTGCCATGCCGGTCACCCCTGGCCCTCCGGTGGTTATTTCTGTTCCCTCTGGCTCCTTCACATTAAGACTGGGTCGCCCCTGGCTCCCAGCTCAAGCGCTGTCCGTGGGGGGCAGCTCTGATTGTGGACTTGCTGGTTATTTCCTAATGTAAATATCGGGCCCCAAGCTTCGCTCTGAGAATGCTTTAGTTAACTCTCTCTCCCCAAGTTATACACTGCATGCTCACTTTTTGTACAGCACAAAATATAGTCTAATCTTCCTTTTAAACCATTGGTTATTTAGAAATTTATTAGTTTCCAAATATTCACAGGTTTTCTCATTTATCTTTGTTATTGATGTCTAATTTAATTCCATGTGCTCCAAGACCATGTATTATATGGGTTTAAACTCTTTCAAATTGGTTGAGGCTCATTTTCTGATCACCCATCTATCTTTGGGAATATTCCACATGTACTTCATATTTTTGGTAGTGGGGATCAAACTCATGACCTTGCACTTGCCTAGCAGGTGCTTGTGCTGCTAAGCCAAACCCCTGACCCTCCACATATACTTAAAAGAAAGCATATTTTACTATTTCGAGGTGAAGTATTATACAAATACCAATTCAGTCTCATTAGCTGAAATGCTATTTGATTCTTTGACAGCCTTACTAATTTTCCGTCTGCTACTTCTACATCAGTGAGAGAGAAGTATTAAAGTTCCAACTATAATTGTGGCTTTGCCTATTTCTCTTTTCAGTTCTACACAATTTTATTTCAAGTACCTTGAACTCTGATGTGGGCCGTGGGCATGGTCAGGGTTGTTAGTCTTCTTGGTGAATTATCTCTCACTGTGAGCTAACGACTACTTGGACGTTTGTGTCTTTTGAGTGGTGTATCTCTTTTCTTCCTTCTACTTTTAACCTATCTACATTCTTAAATTTATGGTGGCTTCTCGTACAGAGCATATAGCTGGGTCTCCCTTAGTTTTAATGTGGATTTTCCTGATAACTTATTACTTGTTCAGGGCCTTTTCTATTCTTATTGATTTGCCATACTTCTTTTTTAAAACCCAACTATTTTGCTCATTTAAAAAATCGAGTTGCGAGAGACCAAGATGGCGAGGCAGTAAGCAGCAGAGAAAACAGCCTCTCGGAGAGTCACTTTTCAGACAGTGGATACAGCACTGTGAGGAAGACAAGGAGAGGAGTGGGCCACGGGACCCAGGAAGCATCAGAAATGTGAACTGAAGCCCACAGAGAAGCCAAAGAGGGACTCACTGCCTGACAGGAGTGGTTCAAGCTAGCAGACCCAGGGTGATGGTGACTCCAGAGGCCTCTGCAGAGAGGCAGCAGGGGAGGTCAGCAGCAGATGTGGAGGGCTGCACTGGCTGGCAGTGAGTTCAGAGGACTTAGTTCTCCCATGAGAGAGTGATTAGCCAGGAGCCATCCTGGAGACAGGCCAGCCGAGCTCAGAACCCAGAACTGCTGCTGGCTCCATCTAACAGCTCCCACCTGGGGTCACTCCTGTGGAAACTGTGGATGGCAGAAAGCCCAATGAGCCTGGTCTCTGGGCAGGCCTGCTGAGATCATCCACTATCCCACCAAAAGGTTACTGCTGGCTTCTCAACTGGTGAAACCAGAGAGAATCCTGGAAATGGGATTATTTTAAAATTTTTTTCCTCTTTCCCCATCACTGTTTGATCTTGTTTTTATATGAGTGTGAACATGGTCCCTGGCCTCTTTATGGATGTGGTTCTGTTCTTTCTTCCTTTTATCTCTTCTATCTCTTTTCCTTCAGTCTTCTGCACCAGTTTCCCAAAGTTGATGTGATCCTCCTTTGTCCACTGACCTCACTTCTAATCTCTTCCTCTTCTTCCACTTCTCTATTTTCTCCTTAATCCATTTTGAATTTTAACCCGAGGGCAAAACTGACACAGTAAGGACTTTTATACTGCATATAATTTTCTGGTTTGTTTTAGATCTTGTTATGTAACTACAAATCTAGTTCACTATGGTTAAAAGTGTTGCAAACTGAGGGTTAGCTCAGTTTGTCATTTTCTAGGATGTGTTGGATGCTACTGGTACCACTATAGCCAAAATTGACATAATGTTCTAAACAGCTGTTGGTATTACATGACTGAGATTCACTAAGGGTTGCATAAAATACTATGGCACATTGTCAAAGAACCAGGGACTGGGCTAAACAACTTCTCATCTCCAACAAACTGAAGAGGTCAGATCTTCCAATGGACTCAAACCCAAAACACAACTATTCCTGAAACGTACCTCAGAGAAGTAGTCATCACCTAGGGACTCTAAAAACAGAGTTAAAGAAAATGCAACCCCAGACATCAAGTTCACCAAAGGCAAATCCCGGAGCGATGAGGCGGGACAATCCAAAAGCCTCCCACCTGGCCTCCCTGAAGTGGTAGCAACAAAGCAATTAAGAGAGCCTCTGGAAAAAATGAAATCAGAAATAATTTCTCAGATAAAGTCCATGATTAGTGAAGCTAAAGCAGAAACAAACAAACAAACAAAACAAAGATGAGCTTAAGAAAATTATGGAACCTCAGCATACAAAAGAAATGGGATCCATAAAGCAGATTCAAGCAGACATCCAGGAGAATACATGTTCCATTGAAAGTATTCAATCCAGCAGCTGCTAGATGAGACAAAGAAGAGTAACTTAAGATAGACTGAAATCAATGAAAAAGTAGGAGATATCACAAATGACATTTTAAAAATGTTCACAGACATTAGGGCAGAAAATTTTCCTGGTAGAGAAAAAGAATTTGATATGCAGATAAGCAAGGCAAATAGAACTCCAATTAGTTATGATCAAAAAATTCTACAGCCAGGCATACCATAGTCAAGGTTCCAGAAATTCAACACAATAGAATCTTAAAAGCTGTTAGAGAAAAGAAAAATCACCAAAAAGGAAAGCCCATCAGAATCACAGCTGACTTCTCAGCACAAACTCTCAAGTCAAGGAGAGCTTGGAGTGAAATATTCTGAGTTCTAAAGGAAAACAACTTTCAACCCAAACTGATGTACCCTACAAAAACTATCTTTCAAAATTGATGGAGAAATAAGATACTTTCATGACAAAGAACATCTGAGGAAATTTATAATCTCTGAAATCAGCACTCCAAAATGTTCTGAAGGACATTCTAGAAAGAGATAAAAAGGACTACAGTTCCATGAACTCCAACAGATGGAATCCACCAGGCAAGGCAAACAATTAGAGAGAGGGGGAAAAAAAGGAGGGGACCCAACAACAGGAAAATAACATGACAAGGATAAATCAATACATATTGTTATAACCATCCAGACTAATGATCTCAATTTACCAATCAAAAGACAGTTGGCAGAATGGCTCAAGAAGCAAGATCCAACAGTACGTTGCTTACAAGAAACACATTTAATTAAAGAAGAAATTCATAAACTGAAAATCAAAAGATGGAAAACAATATTCCATGCAACAGGAACCCAGAAAAAAGTAGGAGTGGCTATTTATTTGTAGACAAAGTGAATTGCAAGCCACGACTGATGAAGAAAGATAAAGAAGGTCACTACATCCTAGTAAAGGGAATAATCCAAGAGGAAGAGATAACCATCATAAATATATATGCAACAAATACCAGCACACCCAACTATATAAAACAAATGGGCAATAAAAATTCAAGAAGCCCTGATACAATTGTCTTAGGAGATCTCAATACCCCACTGTCACAAAAAGACATCAACTAGACAAAAAAATTAATAATAAAATATTAGAACTGAACCAAATGGACTTAGTAGGTTATCTACAGTGTGTTCCACCCCACAACATCAGAATACACTTTCTTTTCAGTTGCACATGGACATTCTTCAAAACAGACACATACTGGCCTCTAGAACATGTTTAAATAAATGAAAAAGACTTCAAATTATCCCACGCGTACTATCAGGCTACAGTGCAATGAACTTAGAAATCCATGGCAAAAGAAACCAGAAGAACTTCATAAACACATGGAAATTAAGTAGTACCCTGCTGAAAATCAATGGGTCACAGAAGAAATTAGACAATTTTTACAGTTGATCTTCGGGTCTGACTTTTTTTTTTGCCAGCACCATGCTGTTTTTATCATAGAAGCTTTATAGTATAATTCCAAGTCAGGGATTGTGATGCCCCCTGCCTTGCCTTTGTTGCCCGGGATTGCCTTTGCTATTCTAGGTCTCTTCTGATTCCAGACATATTTTAGGAATGTTTTCTCTAATTCTGTGAGATATGCTATTGGAATTTTGACTGGGTTTGCATTGAATCCATATAACAGTTTTGGAAGTATGGCCATTTTCACAATGTTGATTTTTTTGGCTTTATAAAATGTGCCAGGAAACATTTCTTCTTTATCTACTCTTTGGGAGAGTATGCATAAGATTGGTATTGTGCCTTCCTTAAATGTTTGGAGCAATTCACTACCAAAAGTATCTGCGCCTTGAGTTTTTTTTTTTTTTTTTTTGTGGGAAAATTTTTTAAATTACAATTTTAATTTCTTTAACAGAGGTTACTTAACTTTTCTAATTTATTATGCCAATTTTATTAAGTTTAATGAAATTATCTATTTTATCAATGTAAAATATATTGGCTCAAAATTTCTAATATCCCTTTACTGTTCCCTTAGGGTCTGTGGAAGCTGTGACAGTGTTCTTCTTCCTATGGCAAATATTGATAACTTGCTTCCTTTCTTTTTTTTTTTTAATCTTTTTTGTCTTTTTCTTTTTTTTATGAGTACCAGGGATTGAACTCATGACCACACATTTGCAAGGCAAGCGCTTATGCCACTGAGCTAAGTCCCCAGCCCCTTTGCTTCCTTTCTTTTAAAAGTTTTTTGATCACTCTTACGGGGCATCTTTCAATTTTATTAATCTCTTCAAAGAATCAACTTTTTAAAAAATGTTCTTTTATTTGCTTTTTATTTCATCAATGACTCCTCTTATCTTTATTATTTCCTCCTTTCTCCAGCTTTAACTCACTATTCTATTTCCAGCTTCTTAAATGTTAGCTTACAGCACTGATTTTAAATCTTTCTTCTTTGTAGTATATGCAATTAGAGCTACGTTTCCACCGAAGCTCCCTTTAAGGTGAACCTCATGAAAGGTAAATTAATTTAGGAAAAGCCGGTCAGACTTGTTTGGTACTGTGTAAAAAGTAGTCTCCCAGGAATCAGGGAGAAGTTGAGTTAAAAAGGACACAAAGAAACAGCAGATGACAACACTCTCTGTTGATGAGGGTGTTGGACATAAACACAGGACCGCACTGTGTAAGGTCTGCGCTGTTGGAAACACTAGAAGACATGCACCAGGCCTTTTGAAGGTGAGAAACAATCTAAGGCTGAGACGGTTCGACGGGACTGAAGTGCCAGTGTCACATACCTCGCACCTGGAAGACCCGGGCGAGACGGCCAGCAGCAGGGCTGCTGTGGCTGCACCGCATGTGTGCAGCAACAGGTGATGAGAGAGGCAGAGAGGAGGAGAGCGCACCCCTGCTACGTGCTGTGTGTTTGCTGTGTGGCTTTACCAACCCCGAAGGGCTCCCCCTCCACCCTGGCGCCCTCACCTTGCTGCCATCGAAGGCACAGAGGCGCACGTGTCTGCTGAGGACTTGGACGCTGGCTCCAGGGTGCGGGATCATCTTACAGCTCCACAGGGTGAGCACCAGCGAGACGCGGCTGGGTCTCGGCCTGATCTGAGAGGGGAGTTAGTCGGAAAGTGTATTTTTGTTACGTGAAGTCCAGATCCACTGTCCAGAGCAGCTTTTGTAAGAGTGGCTTAAGAAAATATACACAGAATTTAAAAAGACAATAAGGAAAAATTGTACACAAACAGATACCAATGTGAGAAAAGTCTTAATAGTCTGGTCATTTCAAGTCAAAACTAGTCATTCTGGGTAAAATTTTCAAAGCTGGATTTGGACTATCTGAATTTTTCCTAATGAGTTAAAAGCCGAGACAGGAAAAACAGGCAGTAGTAGCAGTGCAAGTGTCCGAGCTGACCACGGAGACACGGTTTCCCATCTTGGACACATGAGGGTCTGAGTGTGGATTACCATGGCACGGCGACCAAGAACCCTGGCGTCAATATTACCCAGCTAAGTGCTCCTTCTTTTTTAAAATTCCAAGCAACTATCTACCTTGTTCTTTGACTTCTTACTTGGATCTGTTGACAGAGAAAATGTACTATTTGATGAGATTATTCAGATCTATTTCACAGACAAGAGGTCAGATGAAGAATAAACAAACTGGCATTCTGGCTTTGGATTTTTAAAGAACTGCCTCAAATAGTTAACCGTCCATTTTGCTTTGTGACCACGAGCTGTTTCACTTAAATAAATTTGTCATTGAAATTGCAAGACAGTATCTAAAAGTTGTCAACTGTTTTAAGAAATGTGAGCTAAATATTTAGTTTTCTGGGCATAGATTTGTAACATTTAATGTACATTAAATAGACCAAATATAACATCTTTGTTGACTTAGAAAACAAGAAACTCAATGCTAAGAAGTTTCCAGGTCACACTAAGATTGGGAGGGAAAGGGGTGCTGAGGTCCTGCACCCCGACCCTCACTCCTGCAAACCTGACCACTAAGTTCCTCTCCCCTTAGACTGCAGGGGAGGGGGGCAGACGAGGGAGAAGATAAACAGAAGGGCGGGGATGTGTCTGACGGGGTTTATATCCGCTCTAAGCTGATATAAAGTAGAAGGAAATATCGGGTATTTTCTCCCTCAAACACAGAGACAGCAAGAGCCCTTTGCTCTTAGCCCTGCCTGATGCAGCTCCGCTGCTTTCTCCTCCACATGTACTTAACACAGTACTTCGACGGTACCACTGATGATGACACTTGCTGGGTCCATCAGCTTTCCGGTGCTGTAACAAATATCCGAGGCCATCGCTTTAAGAAGGGGCAAAGGTCTGTTTCAGCGCCTGGCTTCTGTCCTGGTCAGTTGGCCTCACTGTTCCTCAGTCCTGGGTTCAGGCAGTGCATCAAGGCGGCCAGGAAGCAGAAGGGAGCAGGGAAGGGACGCAGCCCTGCGACCCGCGGCCCTGGTCACGGACTTGCAGTCCATGGGGGATGGGGTGACAGACACCCACGCCTACCAGATGGCTAAACCTTTCTGTATAAAATTATTCTCTGGGCAACTCCACATGGGAAGGATGGCCAGCCCCACTTGTACAGATGAAGAAACAGGTAAAGAACAATTAGGATCGAAACCTGGCATTTTCCCTTTATAACAACGGGAGAAACAGAGCAATTAGAGAAGGGAAACAAGATATAGTCAAGGTACCAGGTCTAGGTTTTACCTTACCTATGAAACATCACATTTAAAGAACTCCAACGTGGAAACAATTCTTTGGTTCCTGTAGTGCATCCATTCACATGTTAGCTGTGTTTACTGATGGCAACTACACTTACAGTGCCCGACTTGGCGTCCCACACTAGGTCTCTGAAGGCCAGTTGTGATGCCGTGAGCTCTGGCTGTAAGAAGGAACTTGCTCGAAATCGATTCCCTGTAAAGATAATTCATTCCTTGATTTTCTCACAAAAAGAGGAATAGAATTCAAAACCCAACATCCATATTACTGTACTGTGCTACGAATGTAGGAACACAAACTTCCAAAATGGCAAACTGCTTACTAGGAACTCTTTTTTCTTCTTTTCTTTTCTGTCTCTCTCCCCCCACCCCTTGCTTGCTTTATGGTCTTTTTGACAGGGTCTTACTATGCAGGTCAGGCTGGCCTTGAATCCACTTTGTAGCCTAGGCTGGTCTTACATTTTCAAGGATCCTCCTGCCTCAGCCTTTCAAATGTTAGGATTACATGCATGCACTACCCCACCCAGTTGTAATTTGCTTTCTGAGACAGAAGTTTGACCCATACTTATTAACACAATATAACATTTAAAGAAATAAACAGGTAAAAGATTATCTTAAGGCAGCTTAAAGAAAGATCTTAAAGAATTTTAGGCCAATAACATGCCTCATAGTGAAGATAATGCATTCAAATATTTTTGTAAAATGCAGAAATCCCTAAGCATTTTGCAGACTTTAGAAAAAAAAATAACCTGTGGTTCCATGGAACACAAAAGCATTTTTACCCTTTGGCTCCAGTTTAATTATGAAGAATACTTCTATTTTCAGCAGAATACATTTATTGAGAGAAAGAAAGCTTCTGTCCAAGTGAGAGGCAGAAGGGGTCCCAACTGGGTTGCCCTAGTTATGAAGAATACTTCTTATAAAATCACTTAGTCATCCAACAAATAGTTTTAGAGTCCCTGTTCTGTGCCGAGCGCTATGCTAGGAGTTGGAGAGGGAACAGAGAATGAGGCAGATGTGTTCCCTGCCCTCACTGCTTACAGCAGAGTGAAGGAATGGGTGCCCAGGTGCAAGGCAGTAGAGGGACCCACACGATGACATTATGAAGGCCCCTTTCCCTTGTAAGGTGGGGTCTGCCCCGAGACCGGTGGGATGGGAGGGGCACTTGAGGGGGTGTCGGCAACCCCAGTGCAGCCCTTCCGTGGGTAACTTAGCAGTCAGGTAGACAGGAGACGCCCTGCCCTGCAGGACTCCACTCTGAAATGAGCCAGCTACGGGGAAATCCAAGGCTGAATAAGGAATCAGAAACCCCAAATGGAGAAGGAATCTGGAGAAGCCCCTCTGCAAAGAGGAGCAGTAAAGGGAGGCTTAGGCAGCACGGCCAGCGCTGGGGGCGGTGGTGTGAGGTGCGCTGGGAGGACCGAGCGGGGAAACAGGTGCAGGCTACAGACACTACGAGCAGGGGTTTTTGTCTGCTGTGTGGGGAAGATGAGCAAAAGATGAGTGTCAGCGAGCAGTGAGAGTCAGCATCGTCCTCAACATTACACGCCTAACTGCTTAACCCGGTCACCTTCCTCCAGCAGCTGGGCCAGCGTGGAGGGCCGGAAGCCCGCAGGAATGGCCCCCATGGTGGCGAGCACGTCCACGGTGTTTATCTGCTGAAGAGAGGGGAACAGAATGAATCTGCTTGCTTTCCTTCACGCTGCTTCACTTCTGTAGTGCAAACACAGACTTTAAAGGGAAAATACTGCCATGGGGCCCCCAATTCCTGAAAGCAGCAACCAGCCCCGAATCCCGCCCTTCCCAAGGGCCTGAGCCTCACACCGAGCTCGGAAGGCAGAGTTCTAGACCAGTGCTTCTAAGCATCCTTTATCAAAACGGACCCTCTGCTCTGCCCCCCATGCATGGCCACTCACTAGCCTGAACACTGAGACTGATTCCCACTGAGGAATTAAGGGTGCTCTGCGTATGTGAATACACACGCACACACACATACACACACATGAGCACGTGCTTAAGTAAAACATGGAATGAAATGTCAGGAAGAATATCCACTAAACATAGTGATAATAGTGATGATCTGAGGGAAATTTTTCATTTTGTTCTATATTTTTTTAAATGATAGGATTACAGGTAACTTGTCAGATTTTTCCAAACAGTAAATGAAATTTAAGTCTTTAAATTTGCGAGCTTCCATCCCATTTGAGTCTGAACTCAATCAGAGCTACTTTGTAATGATACAGAAACAAGACACCAACCACACTTCATCTATTAAACAGATTGTTAAACGTGAAATAGCAGCCGTCATCACAAGGCAGGAGTTACTAACCTCTGAGATGGCTTTGCGAACCGCACTCCAGTGGGAATCGGTTCTGGGGAGACAAAAGAGCAAGTGACAGGTTTCGCTCTGGGTTCACCTGGGGAACCACAGTCATCACAGAGCAGCACCTCACTGTCAGTGAGGTCTCAAAGCCAAACAGTTCCTAGATGAAACCGAGCTAGCGCTAAAGGCGCTACATAGTAGCTACAAGATTAAAGCAGTGATGAGCTGTAAGCAAACAATCATAGGGAAAGCCCCCAAGAATAAGTTGTGTCCTCTTCCAGAGAGTTTTGAAGAGATGCAACTCAGTATAGGTAGGAGGCTCTGGGTTCAACTCCAGATCCGAAAAAAAAAAATTAATTAATCAAAAAAGAATAAAAGAAAGTCTGGAGTCTTGTATAAAAGTAAAGTAGAAAGTTCCCAAGCCATTCGAGGTCTCTGCCCATCCGTACCGTGGCTTAGCTTCAGCTCCATCTGCAGTTTCATCCTCCACGTCCACAGCCTCCTCGCTGTCCTGGTCACTTGGTTCCTGCTCTTCTTTTTCTTTATTACAGAGCTGGGGAAGTAGTGAAATAGGAAGTGCTCTTCAACAGGTGTAGCAATCAATCAATAAAAATCCTAGCTGTTTCCGAAAGACTCAAGCATAGAAGGGAAATTAGAATACAATAGAAAAAATATGATAGGAAAGAAGTTTTCAGCATATAGTTGATGACTTCACTATGTGATAAAATGGCAAAGCCTGAGGCAGGCAGCAAGTTCTAACCAAAATAAACCCAGATGGGATTTATGCCAAGGAAAAAAGTTACGGTCAAGATAAAAGAAATATAAAAGTATTATAAGAAGGTGATCTCGGGATGAGGAAACCCTTAACAGTGATGATATCAAAGCCAAAATTGTAAGTGAAACACTGACAGATCCAGACAATGAAACACACACAGAGCTGAGAGTCAACAAAGACAATTTCTAAGGACCAATACTTCTATTATTAAAATATTACAGAAGCTCTTATAAAGCAATGAGAAAAAGATTTCTAAAAATCCCCTGAAAAAAATGTCCAAAAGACCAGAAAAGGCAATTCACAGAGAAGGAATAAAAATGGTCACAAAACACGAAATGTCGCTCAACCTCCTTAAGAGTATAATGAATGCACTTAAAAACAATGAGACTGCTTTTGCCAATCACGCAGGCCAAAAATTAAAAAAAGATTAATTACAGTTAAGACTGGCATTTATATGGGGAAACACTCAGATGCTGGAGGTGGGAGAAGAAATTGGCAAAATAAATCAAGACAATAAAGATGTAAGTCCTGTGAGGCTGTGACAAACATCCGGAATTTATGGAAGAGGTATAATTAAGCAACTTGGCACCGACACAGGAGCAGACTGATCAAAATGGGTGGGCGGTGGGCTGAGACCTGGTCGTCCCCACCCCTTCCTCGCTGGCAGAACCCGGACTTCTGCAGGCTGCTAGGTGTTGCCATGGAACCAGATGCTGCTCAGTGAAGTATAACTTGAAGTTTTTGTGTGGCTTCCGGAAAACTAACACTATGCCGTTTGATTTCTTCCCTCTCTGTCTTTCACTGCATAGACGCATTACAAGATCCAGCAGCGGATCTGCTTAACAGGAAGAGCTGCTTCACGTGTAGCTACAGAGTAAAATATTATTCAGGGCTTTAACCAGTGCTGGATTGTCTATCTTCACATTCCTTTTTCTCTTGAAAGAAATGGGCTTCTCCTCAAGGGTGGCCACTTCCTGGGGAGAATCCTCTGCACTCAGGGGCAGCTGATTGTAGCTTCTTTGTAATACAATAGTGATTACAGGTGGGACACAATCTAAACGTCTACCTAAATGAGACCAGAATCCTTGTTGCCTCTCAAAACATGATCCAGACCCCACCTGTGCAATTCAGCAGCCCTTTACTGCATGCGGCTACCGAGCTTTACATTTTAGTCCAGCTTGAGATGCACTGTAAAAGCAAACCCCACACTGGCCTATGAACTTCGTGTAAGAAGTAAAATAGCTCCATACTTTCAAATATTGATTGCATGTTGAAATTGTACATTCGATACACTGGATAGAATAAAATACATTATTTAAGACAACTCCATTATTTCATTTTTAAAAATGTAGGTAATAAGAAATAGACATCTGATCTCTCTCTGTTCCTGGCAGACACAAAGCCTTGGAATTTCCTGAATGATACCTTGTGTTTTCTTATCCATAGGGGTCCCAGTGGTTATGCTAATGAGGCAACTTTAGATGGCCTGCAGACAGCTACAGGGATTGGCTGGTTGCCAGAGGAACCAACCATGGGATTAGACATTGAAATGCTCAGCCTCATGCGCCAGCCTCTGGGGAAAAGAGAGGAACTAGTGCCTGGTAATCACCCATGGTCAGTGATTCAACTAGTACAATTAACCAAAATCAACTAAACCAAGTGGAAACACCCTGCGATCCTCTGGGCTAGAGAACACATCAAGATACCAGGAGGGTGACATACCCAGAGATGGCGTGCAGGCCAGCCCACCCCAATACCATACCCTGTGTATCTTTCCTATTTAACTATATCTGAGTTAGGTCCTGTAAAATAACCTGGTAAATGCAAATACAATCTTTCCTCAAGAGATCAGTTCCAAGACCCTTCAGGAAGACCAAAACCCAAGGATGCACAAGTCTCCTATATAAAATGGTACAGTATTTGCCCATAACCTGGACCCATTTTTCTGTGTACTTTGAATCATTTCTAATTACTCATAATACCTAACACAATTGAAACGCTATGCAAATGATTGTTGTACTGTATGGTTTAGGGAATAATGACAAGAAAAAGTTTGTACATGTTCAATATAGATGCAATTTGTTTCTTCAAATACTTTTGATGTGATGTTGGTTGAATGCACAGATCAGAAATCCTTGGAGACAGAAGACAAACTGTAAAGTGTTTATCTGAGTTCCATGAATCAGCATAGTGAATTTCAGACCCCTGAAGACCACCAGTCCTAAAAACTGATGGCTTCTGGAATTTCTATGCTTGGCATCGCACCTGGTGCAGTCTTGCAGAACGGTGTGTCAGGTCCAGCAATGAGGAAATGAAATATATCTTTGGTGTCAGAGAAGTCTCACATATGGTATCAGAGGTGGTGTCAAGAAAAAAGACCCCTCAATATGGTTACTAGAAGATTTAAAATTCCAAATGCGGTATACATTTGAATTCTCTTGGCAACACCAACTCAGACAGATGTCTACCCTACTTGGAAGAAAAAATGATCGTACCCTATCAGGAAACAAAATAGGCTACAAACATGTGTGCACCGTATGTTCACATGAGGAAGGAGATGATGATACACAGTGGCCCCTTGATTATGACCACGCATATGAACATCTTGGGCTACGACTGGATTTTAGGTTGAACTTATGACCAAAGTCTTGAGTTGTGGCCCAAATGCCAGCTGCTTATACAGCTGTAAACAAAGACGCACGATGCCAGCACAGTGTAGGAAAGCACAGGTAGGCATCAGTTTGCGCCCAGATGTGGATGTCTGCAGGCATGATTTTGCTGAGTGCTTTATATAATTGCTCCGATTGCTGCTATCAAAATGGCCCCCCAAAAGCTACAAAAACAGCTCAGGAAGGAACGAAAGGTAAAGAAAGAAACACAATCAAAAGGAAGAAGGAAACCGTGGAGAAATACAAAGGTGGTGTTCATGTGACCGATCTTGCTAGTATGTACAGCATGTGGAAATCCACCACATCTCAACAATCTTAGAAAAGATTTGTATAGGGAAGCTAGTGTTGCTCAAATTGGTAAGTCATGATCAACAGCGTTAGACAGGCTAGAAGGCCTTTTAGAGGACCTGGCAGTTAATGCAAAGTTAACATGAAATGCCTTGCTATGAACAGTATTAACCTGCAAAGCTTCACTGTGAAATTTGTGCCAGGGCTCACAGGCATAAAAGCATTTCACAGGAACCCAGACCCATTAACACACGCGGGTTTTCCTCACTCTATCCCTAAAATTAAAGCAATTTCTGTATTTCAACCCATTCACCAATCAATTGATCAAAAAATATAACAATGTTTTATTAAAAATGAAAATAGTTGAAGGGGAGAAAAGCATAAACAAGGACTCACCTCTAAGTAGGTTCTGGGAATAAGCCCTTCATTTCCTTCAGCATTCTTTGCTATCCACCAACCGTCAGGCTTTTTTTCAATTATAAGGAGAATTTCCCCTTTCTTAAAGCAAAATGCAATACAAATTGTAAAGGAAAACTCAAAACACATGAGTCTTACTTCATTACTAATGCTTTAAAATGCATGGCAGAAGAAAGGTACAGTATTTTTCCCATCCATTGCTCATCCCAATTTTTATCACCACCCTACCCTAAACCTACATGATGATGATATAACTATAAATAAATCATTCCACTTGGTTGCTTAACATTCATTTGAATCCTATGTGCAAAGGGAAGCAGTTTTCATAATCATTGTCAGGGCCCCCTACTTATTCCAGCAATTGGATCACTGTATAAAATATCTTTGAGTTTCTGAATCTCTTTGTAGAGTATCTTTTAGAAGCAGTATACATATCCTTGAAGAAAATCAACTGTGTTAAAAGTTAAACCTTATTTTGAAGCAAAAATAGTATTTTCTCAATATGTTTGTCTGCCTAATTCATGTTTTGAATAATACTTGTCCATGAATAAAAATATAATCCAACTTGGAAAAACAAAGAATTTCTATTATAGAGGACATTTAAAAACAAAGACTTTTACAGAATATACATTATTTTTTTTTTGGTACCAAGGATTGAACTCATGACCTTGCACTTGCTAGGCAGACGCTTATGCTGCTGAGCTAAATCCTCAGCCCTGAATATACAGTATTGCCTAATGTTGATAGTATTTTCTGGGAGAATCTGAAAATAAACTCTATGAATTAAAATGTATTAGTTGTACAATATCCTTGCATATTTTATTAGTAATCAGTTATGAAACTTGCAGGTAAATAAACACAAGGCCCACAGTCTGTACATTCATTGATATTTCCTTGACTTATTTTGCTAACAGAAAACAGTTTCAACCCCCCATCACCCTTTTGAGCTTTGTTTTTCTGGAGACAGGATCTTGCCATGTATCCCAGCTGGGCCTGAACTTGCATTCCTCCAGCCTTAGCCTCCAGAGTGCTGAGTTTACAGGAGGGCACCACCACACCTGGATCCCAATCTCTTTTATTTATTTTTTAATTTTTTTTTTTTTTGTCTTTTTGAGACAGGGTCTTGCAATGCAGTTGCAATGAGTCAGTCCTTGAACTCACTTAGTACCCGAGGCTAGTCTTGAACTTGCAGTGATCCTCCTGCCTCAGCCTCTGAGTGCTAGGATTACAGATGTACACCACCAAGTCCAGCTCCAATCTCTTTTATAAACACAATGGGATTTTCCATCCCAGTTGCTATTTATTTGTGCACAGGCCAAGCAAGCCCCTTTCCTATCTGAACCAACAAGGAGACGTGCCACCTGACCAGTCTCCCCTGCTGCCTCTAGCTAAGTACACCGTCTCTACCTGTGATGATCAAAAACAATCAGAAAATTCTGCCCCCAATGAGAATTACTGACATGAAAGCTCTTTTTGAAATGCTTTAGAAGAGGTGACTTTAATGACAGAATATCATATTACTACCACTTACAAATGATTATTTATTTGAACAGAGTGTTAAAAAATATATAAGAACGATGTAACACAGGTGTACAAAACTGGCCCTGGGGTGCATTCCTGTAACAGCAGCACTTGGGAAGCTGAGGCAGGAAGACTGTCATGAGTCTAAGGCAGCCTGGGATACTCAGTAAGTTCAAGGCCAGCTTAAACCATGAAGTGAGACCCTGTATCAATCCCCCTCCTCCAATACAGGCACCCAGGCAGAGTTTTCTTAGTGTACTAAGTGTGCAAAACTACCTTTAGATAGTTTCAGGTTTCTTCTACTCACTTTAAATGTAAGATCCCCAGCTTGCTGGGCAGTAAAGTCACCAAGGGCAATGTATTCTTCATTTGCTGCTTGTTTGAGAGATTCCTCTCCCTGCTGCTCTTCCTCCTCTTCTGACTCTTCTTCCTCCCCATCACTTTCTTCACTGTCTTCTTCTCCTCTATCATCATCATCACCATCACCACCATCATCACCATCATCATCACCATCATCATCACCATCCTCCTCCTCGTCCTCGTCCTCGTCCTGTTCATCTTCAGTAGAATCAGCATCTTCCTCCCTTTCGGTATGGGCACCAGTCCTACAGAAAGCATTTCTATGACTCGGCCATTTGAAATAACATACAAGAGCAGAGCAAGTATGAGTAGAATTTCCACGTGTAGAAAACCTGCTCCATATTTAGAGCTGGTAAATAAAAGAAACAAGGGGAAATTACAACCAACGATTTCCACCATCCGGCTGAGCAGGTGCGCTCTGAAGCGCTGGGGGCAGGGATTTATCTGAACAAGGCATGCAAGAGGGCAGAACATGGGCTTGCACCCACGAACGCTACGCAAATCCTGGAATCATCCACTGGGCCACTGTTCCTGGAGCGACTTTACAGAACTTAGCGCATGGCTGGTTTATATTCTGGTTCTATCTCCTCTTCCCTGGATGACCTTACTAGGTTTCTGATAAGCTCTCCCTTTTTCACTGATAAGGCCAAGATAATAATAGATTGTATTCCTGTCCTGGTCACAAGAATTAGAAGAGTCACAACCTGCTAAGTGTCGAGAACTTGCCCTTAGCGAGCTTTCGGTCCAAGTGGGTTATGGTGATAATGACGTTGCATGGCAGGTTCCACGTGAGACACGAGGGATGCCAAGGTGGACTGTGCTAAAGGAGCTTATGTCGAGAAGGTGTAGGACACAGACAGTTTCAATTCAGCTCCACAGGTACTACGGTAGGCACCACAGGATGCTAAGGAATCGAGCAGGACAGACACCCAACCAGGCTGCGTTTGGGGTCAGAAAAGGCTTAGAATTAGGGCTTCAGGATGAGCTGGAATTTAGCTAGGCAATAAAGAGTAGAAAGAAGGCAGAGGGAGAGGAAAACGGAAGTTCAAGACCAGGGAACATTAAGTAGCTCAGGAATGGCAGGGCAAGGCTCAGGCAAAGAGCCCAGAAGAGGTGGGCAGAACGCGTCCCTGTGCGGTTTAACTTAAAACAAATGGAGCTAATGATATTAAACTAATGCAAAAGAACATCTAACTAGCAAGACAGCCTATGATTTTCTAGAGCAGTGGTAGCAAACCTATGGCATGCAGGCCTCGCAGGCTGTTTACCATCACTGAGAGCTCTAAAAGGTTCACCATCACTATGCTAGAATATCTTGGCTTAAAATAGGTATAGGACTCTCATAGGATACTGCCCTACACACAAACAGAAACTGAATAAAAATGATCTTTGTACCTCAAGAACAAAACTCCATAAGCTATAGCACACTGATTTTCAAGGCACTCCTTTAAGAGATACCCTGCATGTATTTCACATGGGACAATTACTCCAGAATGCTGCCAAGGATAACAGGAATTTGGCATGGTTTTTCACTTCCATGAATGTTGATGTGGTGGATTTTAATCATCAGTTCCTTAGTGTTAAACCAACCACTGGTTCTGGAATAAATTCTACCTGGTCAGGATGTGTCCTCCTTGTGATCTGCCTCTAGATTCGGTCTGCTAGTACCACAATGAGCATGCCTTTGCACATGATTTTCTTACAGTGCTTTCTGTCAGGATTTGCTGTCAGTGTTATCTGGCAGCTCGTACAATGCTTTGCATTCTTCTTCTAGTCTCCAGGGAGATTTTATAACAGTGGTATTAATTCTTTCTTAAGTATTTGCAGTAATTCACTAGGGGAAGCGAATCAGCTCCCTTCTCCCTGCTGCACCTTGCTCCGATGTCTCAGGGGCCTCAGCTCCTCAGTGCAGTGAGGCTGCTCGTTTCCTCGTGCGGCCCACCTTCCTGCAGCAGAGCCCATGGACATCCCAGGGAGAGAGCCTGGGTGAACACAGGCCCCGCCCTGTCTCTCCCCAGATCAGGTTATCAGCCCTGCTCGGTTGACCACGATGCCTGCAGACAGCTGCTCCGATACTCTGCCCAGAGTTCAGGGCTGTTTGTGGAGGGAAGAAGCCCAGTATCAGCGTCCTGTCACTCTCACCCGGGATTCTGGAATTCTTGCGTCTACATATGTTAGTGTTTTTTCCAGGGTACAGTGTAAAAAGCTGGAACCACAATCAGAGTCTGAGTAGTCTGAATTGATTGTTTTTTGGCTCCCTAGAAATTGGGTTTGTTTACACATAAAAGTCTTATTGCAAATTACAAGATTTGTTATTAATAATCCCTCTAGTAGAAAAATAATGGATGTTTATGCTTGAATTTTTGAAGAACACCTACCCAAGGACTATGTAAACAATGCAGATTATTTTACCTCATACACATTGATAGTGACATTAAAGGCATTGTTCTTTTCAGATCCGCTGTTTCATTAACTAGATTATAAATAACATGAAGTTAGAGACTATAGTTTATGCCTCTTTATAACTCTCATAGGCTCCAAACACATTCTATTATACATAATAAATAAATGTGGACTGGTTATACAGTTAGTTATTGTTTTTTGTTTCTACAGTTATATGTCTTTATCCTGAATCCAATATAAAAACTGGTGGTGCTATGCACGGTACTCTAGGAGGCTGAGGCAGGAGGATCACAAGTTTGAGCCAAGATTGGACAAGTTAGTGAGATTCTGTTTCAATATAGAAAATAAAATTTTTTAAAAGTCTGGGGATGCAACTCAGTGCAAAAGCCTTGGATTCAGTACTGAACATAATTTTTTTAAAAATCTAAAAAAAGGAGAGGAGGAGGCGTACCTGGTCATATTTTCTTTACTTATGGCCATGGCGAGTTCCTGTAGCTGCTGGGTGAGCTTCTCCAGGAGGCTCTGCTCCTCCGCCTTCCTCTGATCATAGTTCCCCACAGGGGCTGCTTCGTCGGCCTGAGAGAGAGCATGGCGGAGAAACTGATTTCGCTTTCCTAATCATACTTATTTTAAGAGAATAAAACCAAAGACTCCATCAAATGCTGCAAAGCAAAATAAATGCCCTGTGAAATGAGTCTGTCCTGCAGAAATGAGCTAAGGAGGAACTGTGGCTCTGTCAGCGAGGGACAAGCTGTGACCACAGACTGGCTCTACAGCCAACACGACAGGGGCCGTTCCTAAATTCCGCCACTTTAGTGACAGGAGGACCTGATTTCTTCTTCTATCAGAGCCTGTTTTCTCCTCTGTGAACCACGCATAGTTAAGTTCTCAAATCTAGGGCTCCTGTCTCCTAAGCTGGAAACTCTGGTGTCCCTGGAGAAATGCAGAGATGGCATCCAGATCCGGGGAGCAGGACTCAGAGGCAGGTAGGAAGAGGACTTCAGACTCCGCCTTAAGTCTCCGTGGGTCTGCAGCCCTGGACACCGAACCGAAGCTGAGGCTCAAACATGAAGGATCCTGAAGGGATGGCGAGGGTGGACTCAGCCTCCTGCCTTTGCAGAGCCAGTGACGTCAGGGTCACTGCCACGTGACACGGGGCTTTGTCATCACTTACCTCAGGACCAGACAGTGTACTCTCTCCTCGCGATGGGATTAAAATATAAAAACAGTTCTAATCAGCAGCCCCTGTACCTTATAGTTTTTAAAAATCAGGTGACTCATCAGAGCTGGGATGGTCTGCGGTATCCGAGCTGTGGCATTTCTGCCCCACACAGGTACTTAGTGACCTCTCGGGCACAGCTGTGGTCAGACTCCTTCCCTAACGCAAACCTAGGGCTTTAGCAACTGCATTTCCTTCCCAGTGAGGTACAATATTTGATAAGACATTTTTTTATAATGTCATTAACTATAATACTTACCTTCTTTAATTTTTGAAGAGTGGTTTTATTTTCATCAATTGCCTGTTTTAACTGAATACATCTAAATTTTTAAAAAGAAAGAGAACACATTGGTTTACTATTGTCAGAACAGGAAAGCTATTTTATAAAATTATTCGCAGACTCTAGGCAGCAAAGGAAATTAGCTATTGCATGAACTGATGTTTAAAATTTCACATGGAAATGCTTTTCTAGCCATTAGCTTTGATGATCTACAAAGTGTATTTAAAAATACATTTTGGAAAATTTCATTCACTGTTAGGTCAATATTATTTCCACTTGTGTTTTTGGAAATTGTATAAATAAAAAGGAAGAAAAGGGATGGAAGTAAAGAGAAGAAAGAAAGAAAAAGAAATAAAGCTTAAAACGATTTCAGTGTCTTAAACACTACTTGAAACGTAAGCACAGTTCCTAGGAAGTTCATAGTAGTTAGCACACTTTACCTTTGGTAAACATCTTGCCTTTTACTGGGCTCTAGAGTTGCTTTCAACTGGCTTTCCGAAAGTAAAGTATCAACCTAAGGCAAATGGAGACAGTTTAAAACGTCACTTTAGGAAATAAACTAAATCTCTCTTTACCTCCAATATATAACGAGCAGTTTGAAACATACAATAATAAAGTTGAAAGAATTTTACAGCAAATACTCATTCACTTATAACTAGATTCTACATTCAACATTTTATTATGCCTATTTGATCTATCCATCTATCAATCCGTCTTGTTTTATATGCATTTCAAAGTAAACTTTAGTCATCAGTACAACTCTCCCTAAATAACAAACTTAGGGTCAGGAATTACTTCAGTGGTGTTAAGAGCCTGCTTGGCAAGTGCGAGATTGTTTCAATCCCCAGTACCTAAAAAAAAAAGAATGACCTTGGGGGTGTCATTAACTAGAGTTTAATATTTGCTATAAATGGACACACCAGATACACAAACCTAAAGTGTACCTTTGTCACAGTTTGACAAACATATACACTTATAGAACCCAAATCCCTATCAAGATACAGGAAATTACTGAAAGGATTTTGCCCCAGATGGGACACTGGAGGTGGAATCAAGGGGCTCTATCTTGAGGTCACCGTTCCCGCCCTGAGGCAATTTACCTGTGGCAAAAAAATGAATTCCAATGGGCTACCAGTGCATCAGTAATGCCCCTTAGGCACCACCCCAAACCTAAGCTACATGTATGCCCCCATACCACAGTCTGGTGGAGAGAATGCCAGACCCTGGAGGTCATAGAGTCTCTCTCCACATTCTTTAAATAAAGGCAGCTTTTATTTCATACTTATCTTTTTAGCCACGCAGAAAATTCTATCAGATGGTTCCCTACCATGCAGAAAATTCTATCAATTACCTCAGAAAGTTCCCGTTCCAAGCAAATCTCTATCCCATCTTTCCAGAGACAAACCTGTTCATTTTTTTCCACCATAAATTAACTTTAGCTGCTCTTAAACTTTGAAAAAAATGGACTTACACAGTATATATTTATGTTTAAATTTCTCTACTGTGCTGTTTCTAAGATACTTCCATGTTATTGTTAGTTTATTCTTTATTACTGAGTAGAATTCATTGAATCAAGTGTACCACCACTTTGTTTATCTTGATCTAGTATTTTACAAGCACTACATGTACTACGTATATTCTTGTCAAAGCACCACAAAAAAAGCACATCTCTGGGTTTTTTTCTACAGATTGCATGAGAAGATAGTAGATAAAAAAAGAGAGAAAATTTCATTAACTTCTTCTCTGTGTTTCCTATGTGGCATCCACCTGAGTGTTACAAAATCATACATTGATTTTGATAGGGCAGGTTATCACAGGCATGCCCCAAACAGGAAGTGGATTCCTTGCCTATGGACACTGAGTTGGTTATACATTTCTTTCTTTGTTTCTTTTCTTTTGTCTTTTTTCTTTCTTTCTTTCTTTTTTCTTTTTTTTTTTTTTTTTTTTTTTGCTTCAGGCGTCTGTTGTGGAGATAGTAAACAATTAGCTAATATTATCAAAATGTTCTTTCCAGATACTTGAAGTATTAAAATGCTCATGATTCAATTTGATCCCTGCAATAGTCGGTTTTATTTTGTTTTAGTAATTATTTTTATAGTTTCCTTCTGAAACTTGTCTTGGTCCTTCTAATGTTCCACTAAATTTAAAATCACGTAAGAACCATATTATTGTAATCCCAAATTTTGTATACAGTCATCCAAGAATTATAATATAGAATATAAGGGGCTGGGGATTTAGCTCAGCGGCATAAGCACCTGCCTTGCAAGCAGGCAGTCGTGAGTTCGATCCCTAGTACCGATAAAAAGTAAAAAAAAAAAAAGAGCAAACAAATATAGAATATATATCTATATTATAATAAGATAGCATATATCCCTTTTTCAGTTTTCTTCACAATCCAAAGAGTTATATTTATAATCCCTGAGGCTTTATTGGGATCCTGGCAAGTTAATTCCAATTTACCAACTCCAATGCAACCCACTGTGACAGTAAAGACACCATGATATATTCCAAGTTAAGGGCAGCCAAGGGGTCCTAAATCCAATCCTCATGAGGAGGTGCAGACAGAGGCCCTGATCCTCAGCCTCTCCCAGCATTTATTATCCTGTGAAGAAGGGGGGTGGCTCGAGGATGAGCGACAGTGAGGATAGTGGGAACTCATCACCTCCCATGAGGATGTGCAGACAAAGGCCCTGATCCTAAGTCTCCCCAAATTTATTATCTCGTGAAGAAGCTGGTGCCTTGAGGATGAGTGACAGTGAGGATGGCGGGAATTCCATAATTCTGTGGATAACTTAAGCAGCCTGGCTAGGTAGGGAGAAAAGCATCTCTGCAAAATGCAGACATATGGATATGCAGAGGGATCGATTTGCATAATTCAATTAAAGTAGTAAATAAACTGTTTTAGGAGGCTGTTGCTTTGGTTTCTGATATGTAAGCTTTGGTGCCCTGGCGAGTCACAGCCTCTTTACCTTGAGCTCCTACCCAGCTGACATTCCTGGAGCTGATGGCTCTACCACCCCGCTGTGCTCACATCCTTTACAGGGAGAACACCACGTGAGGAGACTGTCTGTGGGCTTTAGAGATTACATACCAGTACTTCCCTAGCCTTGTTTGCAATCTTAGAGTCAATTGAAGAGAGAAGGAAATACAACAGTCAGCTTTGTACATATCAGAATAAGGAAATAAGTTTCCATATAATCAAAGTTGTAGCAATTATTCTGCATTCAAGGGGAATCACTCAAATTTTCTCCCAACCTTATTAAGTCTAATAAAATTCAGCAGAAGTCAGGGCCCCATCAAATTTTACTTTTATTTCTCAAGAGTATTTTGTTTTTATTGCATCACTATGATTCCAAAGTCACTATAATTCACTAAATTTTATCTTTCAAAGTCACTAAAATTTATCTGCCAAATCTTTGTACTTTGTTCAATTTATTTCTAACTGATACAAAAAACCCAAAAATTATATATTTTATGAGGTACCAATGATATTTCAATACATTTATACCTTGTATAACATTTAAATGAGGTTAAACATACCTATCTCCTCAAGCAATTATTACTTCTTTATGATGAAAATATTTAAATTTTTTTTCCTTTCCCATGATATGGAGATGGTCTTACACATGCTAGGCAAGGGTGAAAACATTTAAATTTTTTTTAAACTTTTAAATAAGAGTTTAAACAGCATAAAATAATGAACCTGAGATCATCTTATAACTGTCAAAAAATTTAATAATTTTATTTTAGTGGAAAAATATATGGTGAATCAGACTTTTAAAAAGTACAAACAGTAAAGTGAAATGTAAATTTCAGAAAATAAATGAACAGCCCATTACTTTTTTCTTATTTTTAAAATAAGCACTCAATGCTTTGAAAATATACACAAGGAAAATAACCTAGTGTTGTTTAACCATACCCGTACCATTTTAGTATGCTACCTTCTATCTCTGTCCATGTCACCAGAATATTGTATAATCCTTTCTATGTCTCTAACTTGCTATTTTATCATATTTTCTCTATATACTATATGCCTCAACAAATTTTAGTGACAATATTATCCTACCCCTAAGTTATTTATGTTAGGTCCGCCCACCTGAGAGACAGCACAATCATCACAGCAGTGGTTCAAAGCTGTGCCCTGATAATGCACACTTCCTTCTTCCCAGAAGCCCCTACGGCTTCTCCCTCCCAAAAGTCTGCCAAATCTCAGGCATGTAAAGATTTACCCAATCCTCTACAATTTCAAAAAATAAATCAGCTCACATCAGCCCCAGAGCCCGACCCCCATCAGAGGCTGTATCAGGCAAAACCTGCCCTTTGCAGAGAGCCGCCACAGCCTTCCTTGTAGTGACTCCTTCCGTGACCCCCCTTATTAATATCTACTTGCCTCCTCGCTTTAATATTCTGAACTGCTCTAGATTGAGTACAAATCAATCAATCAATTTATCCATTCCTCTATAACTGATCATTTAAGTCTCAGTATTTTTTCTATTACAAGCGGCAATGTGATGAACATTTACCGCTGATCTTTGTTCCAATTTTTAATCATCTCACACAGCAGATTTTTGGAAATGTAACTACTGAAAGGGTTGTTGACCCAGACTGGACACTGTAGCCAGAAAAAGCCTCAGCCAGAATTAGGGAGCTCCTGTCTACCCCGCCCCTAGAGATTTACCTGTAACCCTATACCCCCCCACCCTTTGGAATCTGCCCCTGGCACCAAACGTGTGCCAATGAAATACCTGTGCATCTCTAATGGCCTTAGGGCACTGCCCTAAGCTTAGGCTACTTATATCCCCCCCCATGCCACGTGTCAGCGTGAGACATCACCAGATTTCAGCAGCCAGCGTGCCAGTCCTCTCTCTCCGTGTTCCCAGAATAAAGGCCTCTTTTGATTTATACTCCTCATCTTTTGGGAATATTTTTCATCTTCTGGAAATAATCCTATCAACTACCCAGCCGAAGAGCGTGAATGGCTCTTCATTCTGTCAAGCCGATTTCCAGTAATGCTGTCCCTTACACACGGGTCGCCAATGTTAAGCATCTGTTTAGTCCTCGGCTCCAGGGCTGAGTCCTGTGACTTTTATACCTTTGTGGTAGCTCATTTCCTTTGCGATTACTGGGTTATCTTTGGAAATTAACGTTCTCTCGCGCTCACAGTTACTTGTGTTTTCTCTCTCGTTCCCGTCCTTGGTTCAGTTTGTCAGATCGCAGTGTTCTCACACCCAGAGCCTACTCAGGCCTGAATTCTGCAGAGAGTAACAGGCATCGCCTGGTGGCGGGAAGCGGCAGCCGGCAGCCGCTGCAGAGCTCGGCTGCGAGGTGAGGGGAGCTGTCGAGGTGGGGCGGAGGCTGAGCTCGGAGGGAGGAGGACATCAGTGGGCGTCACGATTTTCGGGCCGTTTCGTCAGTGGCTGGGGGTTGGGTTGGAATCCGGACTTGGCGCGAGGGTCGGGGCTGGGGGAGCGGAGACTTCCAACCCGGGAGAAGGGCAGGTTGGACGTGGTTTCTTGGGAGGCCTGGGGTCACGGAGAGGAAGGCGCCCCACCTCTCGCCCGCAGCACAGCCGGCCCTTTCTCAGGCCCAGCCCCTCGCCGTGCGCCCCAACATACCTGTAGCTTCAGCTCCTGACTGCGGCGCCGCACCGCCTGCAGGGGATCGCGCGGGCGCCGGGGTAGCATCTCTCCCGCCGCAGCGCCGCGGGCTCGACGGTTGCCAGGGAAACCAATGCGTCGGCGCGGGAAGATGACGCCATCGCCGCGGGCCCGCCTCCCAGCCAGGACCGGGGGAGACGCGCCAGTCCCGAGCGTCCTGCGGTCTCAGCTCGGTCTAGCTGCCTAGGGAGTTACTTTTCCTCCCCATTGTGGAGTATTTGAGGAATGCTTCACGGGATCCTAAACTACCCGTCCCACCTTACATGGGCATGATGCGCCGTTCCTTTTGAGGTACTATGTTTTATGTAGTTTGGGTCTTACGTCACTTGCTAACTTAACCTTACGATACAATTTGAGTTTCTTAAGAACTTCACGGTCCTCATTGTGTGCGTGGATCTGTTGCATATCTTCCTTGCGGTTTGGGGTATTCCTGATGTTTCGCTTCATTCCAGATTTACGCGTTGTCCGTCCTGAAGTCTGTAGGGTGGTGGTGGTGATTGGGCCTACAGGAAGTCTGTGAGCAAATTTTGAGTTGTGATTTATGAGCCACAGTTTACACGGAGTCTCCAGAAAGTGGTACTTTTTCCCCAGGTGGGGCGCAAGCCTCTAAATGCACCTCCCAAACAACAGTACAGCAAAATTACACTTGAATATGAATGTTGATGATCCGAGCTCACCTCTGAAATGATGGACCACATTCATATAAATGAGTGTTGTTTAGTACCGCACGTAATAATACAGGCCAGCCTGAATTGGCATTTATTTATGTATTTATTCAAGTATATACCTTGAGAAAAGCTCACAGACCATAAAGGTGCAGCTCACTGTACTTCCATGCGCTGAATACACTGCATATAACAGCCTTTAGATTAAAAATAGAACATTACGTGCATCCTAAGTCGTCTTCTAGTTTGTAGCAGCCTCAACTCCGATCACCAAAAGTAAATACTATCCTATTGTTTTGTTAGTAGATGTTTGCAGCACATAATGATCACATGGAGAAGTGGAACATGCACATAACATGTCTTTTTCAGTCTTTTTTCCCTCCTTCCCCTTCCCTCCATCTCTTGGTCTTATCCTAGGTTATAATGGCACAAACTTGTTTTGGTTCCTTAAACTTTATAATGGAATCATGCAGTGTATGCTGGTTTCTTGTGTTCTTTCAGCATCATGTATATGATGTTTTTTTTGTCTGTGGTTATAGTTTGTTCATTCTCATTAGAATTTTTTGTTTTATTTTTTATACTGAGACTCAGATTCAGGACCTTGTGCTTGCCAATCGGTTGCTCATGCCACTAAGCTATATCCCCAGCCTGGAATTTTAAGTCAAGAACTGTGTGTTCCTAACTAGATCCTAAATAGGAAGAGACTGCAGATGCTAGACAATGTACTGGGGGCAAGTTCCTATGAGGGGAGTTGGGGTTAGGGCAGGATACAGAATACAACCAAGGCCAGAGAGATGTCATCCTGGAAAGGAGTCCCCGTGTCTCTCTTGATAAAAGTGAATGAGACAGAGCCTCAAATATAATGAGTTTCAGGCCTCCCATCAGTCCTCTGAAGCGGCAGCCATGGGGAATGCTGAGAGCCAGACAGGTGCTATCCAGACTGTACAGTACCGTGGTTGGTGTGCTGGCCTGTGTTGTAGTTTGTGCTGTGACCAGACTTTTTCTGGTCCTGACTACCAGAAGGGGCTTTTAGGGTTCCACCCTGTCTGGCCTGGCTTGCTTAAATTTTGCTACCTAGGGGCTGGGGATTTAGCTCAGCCGTATAAGCGCCTGCCTTGCAAGTGTGCAGTCATGAGTTCGATCGCTGGTACTGATAAAAAAGAAAAAGACAAAAAATAAATAAATAAAATTTGCTACCTAAGCAGGCAGTTGTAATGGGCAGACACTATCCTTACAGCATGCCACCCCGTCTGCGAGGATCTAAGGATGGGCAGTGCCACCTGGTTCCCTTCAGAGTCAACTTGGGTCTCAGTGATACTGGGTGACACTCTAGATTAGGAGACAAGATAATTTGGGTGCAGATCAGGTCCAGCTTCATTCAACATTATTACTGGTTATTTTATAATGACAGAACCCAACTAGGCACAATTTACATTGATCCATCCATCATGCCTTACGTGAGGATGACAGCACTTCCAGGATGACTCTGTCATTGTGGAGAAGTTGTTGATCCTTCCATTCCTGAAAATCCAGCACAGCATCAAGCACTGAACCATCAGCCTATACCAGACAGCTGCATCAGCATGGCTGTGGGCCAGTTCTGGGCCAATGAAGACCCCCTCACTGTCAGTGAGGCCTGAAAGCCAAACAGTTCCTAGATGAAACCGAGCTAGGGCTAAAGGCGCTACATAGTAGCTACAAGATTAAAGCAGTGATGAGCTGTAAGCAAACAATCATAGGGAAAGCCCCCAAGAATAAGTTGTGTCCTCTTCCAGAGAGTTTTGAAGAGATGCAACTCAGTATAGGTAGGAGGCTCTGGGTTCAACTCCAGATCCGAAAAAAAAAAAATTAATTAATCAAAAAAGAATAAAAGAAAGTCTGGAGTCTTGTATAAAAGTAAAGTAGAAAGTTCCCAAGCCATTCGAGGTCTCTGCCCATCCGTACCGTGGCTTAGCTTCAGCTCCATCTGCAGTTTCATCCTCCACGTCCACAGCCTCCTCGCTGTCCTGGTCACTTGGTTCCTGCTCTTCTTTTTCTTTATTACAGAGCTGGGGAAGCAGTGAAATAGGAAGTGCTCTTCAACAGGTGTAGCAATCAATCAATAAAAATTCTAGCTCTTTCCGAAAGACTCAAGCATAGAAGGGAAATTAGAATACAATAGAAAAAATATGATAAGAAAGAAGTTTTCAGCATATAGTTGATGACTTCACTATGTGATAAAATGGCAAAGCCTGAGGCAGGCAGCAAGTTCTAACCAAAATAAACCCAGATGGGATTTATGCCAAGGAAAAAAGTTACGGTCAAGATAAAAGAAATATAAAAGTATTATAAGAAGGTGATCTCGGGATGAGGAAACCCTTAACAGTGATAATATCAAAGCCAAAATTGTAAGTGAAACACTGACAGATCCAGACAATGAAACACACACAGAGCTGAGAGTCAACAAAGACAATTTCTAAGGACCAATACTTCTATTATTAAATATTACAGAAGCTCTTATAAATCAATGAGAAAAAGATTTCTAAAAATCCCCTGGAAAAATGTCCAAAAGACCAGAAAAGGCAATTCACAGAGAAGGAATAAAAAATGGTCACAAAACACGAAATGTCGCTCAATCTCCTTAAGAGTATAACGAATGCACTTATAAACAGTGAGACTGCTTTTGCCAATCACGCAGGCCAAAAATTAAAAAAAGATTAATTACAGTTAAGACTGGCATTTATATGGGGAAACACTCAGATGCTGGAGGTGGGAGAAGAAATAGGCAAAATAAATCAAGACAATAAAGATGTAAGTCCTGTGAGGCTGTGACAAACATCCGGAATTTATGGAAGAGGTATAATTTTTTTTTTTGTCTTTTTCCTTTTTATCGGTACCAGGGATCGAACTCACGACTGCCTGCTTGCAAGGCAGGCGCTTATGCCGCAGAGCTAAATCCCCAGACCCAGAAGAGGTATAATTAAGCAACTTGGCACAGACACACGAGCAGACTGATCAAAATGGGCAGGCGGTGGGCTGAGACCTGGTCGTCCCCACCCCTTACTGGATGGCAGAATCCGGACTTCTGCAGGGTGCTAGGTGTTGCCATGGAACCAGATGCTGCTCAGTGAAGTATAACTTGAAGTTTTTGTGTGGCTTCTGGAAAATTTTCTTCAGAGGGTAACACTATGCCGTTAGATTTCTTTCCTCTCTGTCTTTCACTGCATAGACGCATTACAAGATCCAGCAGTGGATCTGCTTAACAGGAAGAGCTGCTTCACGTGTAGCTACAGAGTAAAATATTATACAGGGCTTTAATCAGTGCTGGATTGTCTATCTTCACATTTCTTTCCCTCTTGAAAGAAATGGGCTTCTCCTCAAGGGTGGCTACTTCCTGGGGAGAATCCTCTGCACTCAGGGGCAGCTGATTGTAGCTTCTTTTTTACAGGTGGGACACAATCTAAACACCTACCTAAATGAGACCAGAATCCTTGCTGCCTCTCAAAACATGATCCAGACCCCACCTGTGCAATTCAGCAGCCATTTACTGCATGCGGCTACCAAACTTTACATTTTAGTCCAGCTTGAGATGCACTGTAAAAGCAAACCCCACACTGGCCTTTGAACTTCGTCTAAGAAGTAAAATAGCTTTCTGCGGCTTGAAGATGGTGCAGGTGTTTCACTTAGGTCAGTGTGGTGAACCTATAGCATGCCTGCTGCAGTGGGTATGCGCAGAGCCCTCTCTGTTGGCTCACAATCCAAGTCCCGCCAGAAACCCAGCGTTGAATTAGGTTATTTTTGTAAACTAAAACCTCGGTATTCAGGTTTAATTACAGCATTATCACTTTGTGATACATAAGTGGGTTTTGTGTTACAGTTTGAGTAGTTAGTTGGTCTCCAAAAGGTTTTCTGCCCCTGATCTAGGTGAACACTGCAGTTTTGCTTATTGTCCTTTAATACTGAGGTTTCCTGTAGTACACCAGGTCCAGCACAGACCCCTTATCCCACATGGAGCAATGTGGTAATGTGGTCGGTATGGAGGGCAGGAGCCACTTGGGCTGAGAACACACGTGACGGGGGGGGGGGGGGGAGGCCTCTTACCTTGACAGCGTCACAGGCATTGATTGCCCTGTCCCTTCTCTTATTCACTTCCCTGATGATGCTAGGTATTTTGCATTTTAAAAGTTATACTCTCAAAATGGTCATGAGAGCCATGTTCCCTGGGTGATGGCAGAGCTGGGAGTCCATGGACTTGCTCTTGAAAGCTGGAGTCTTCTCTTGAGTTTCCAGGAGGTGCCTCCTTTCCTCTCTCCTGCTGCCCTCAGAGTGGAGCTCACTCACTGAGATTTTTTCCTAGCAAGTGCTCCTGCCCCAAATCTTGGGAATCATTGTGTGAAAAGCAGTTACAGTGGGG